AAAAAAAAACAGATTTTTAAATTACAATTACAAAGAAATTCTAAATATTATAAAATCAGATTTTTGATAAAGTTGGAAATACATGTTGTTTACGTGAACGTAACACTATTCAATCTGGTTGTATACTCTGGTTCATTTAGTAGAACTGACTATTATTATTTCTGTGGTATTCTTCTTCTTCAAATCTGTAATATTGTTCAGTAATATAATAAAATTAAAATAAGATATTATTTAGAGTTGTAAGTGATTTACTTATGAAAATGCTAATTTTTAACAATTTTCCCTTTTTTTTTAAATAATTTATACATTTCTGTTTCAATTGTGTGTTAGTAGATGGCAAATTTTTGTAGATATAAAAAAAATGCTACATTCAGTTTTATTAAAAAAAAGAAATTGCTCTTCTTTCAATTAATAAATAAAAAACTAATCCTACTCCCATAAAAAATTAATCTCCATCATACTTATATAATTTTATATGAAGCCGACCGATCTCTTCCATTGGAAAAACATTATTTAATCTTAACCATAATATTTGTTTTTAAATGTTTTAAATCAATTTCAGCAATACCATTTTTTGTTTATAGTTCAAATATTATCGTTTTCATAAGTAATAATGTATATTTTTAAAGAATATAAACTAAATACCTTAATGTAATGTTGATATTAAATATAACATAACTTATTGATTTTAATATTCCATAATTTATTATAATTATAGATAACAGTATTATTGACTAATGATGAAAAATCCATCCTTGCGAGCTTATTCTTTACGTTGTAAAGAAAATGACTTGAATTTCGGGACCTCTTATAAGATTGTTGTTCTTTAGGAGGTCTGAAGTCAACATGAATACTTATTAAAATTATTTTATTTATACATTACAATGTTACATTTGCTATTCAAAATAAATGTCACACTTAATAAAATAAATTAAAATTGATATTGTTAACTAAATATTTATGTGATTTATTATATAGTAATAATTTTTATTTTTAAATAATTTGTCATATGTTTCTATGTTTGAGTAGATAGTTAAAGAATTGTTGGTAAAAGTATCTACCAAAAGTGATGTTTATAATGCTGATGCTGATTGGTGCTCTGAAGATATGTTACCAAAAGGCACTAAATGTAGAGTGAGTAGTAACATATTTATTCAGCTATAAATGATTTTTTACTAATTTATTTATTTACATTAATGAATAGGCTGAAGGCATGAAAGCTATGGCAAGATGGCTTATTGGCTTAAAAAATGATAAAGTATCTGCTCAAAAAACTTTTAGAATGTTTAATGCTTTTTTGTCACAAAAAGGTGACCTTACACAATCTGGAATTTTATCAAAATCCGAATTAGCCTGGTTACGATTACAAGCTGGTTGTTCAATGTTGAAAATTTGTGAACAAAAAGGTGTTGGAGATCAATATACAGCTGAACAATTTTTTTTGCTTTCAAGACTTATGATGGTATATTTTAATTTTAGTGTTAGATTATTTTTTTTACCTACTTAAGTATAAATTAATTTTAAATATTTAAATTTTAGGATGAAGTTTTACAAGTACGAGAAATTTTTGCTGCAAAACTCCATAAAGGTTTAGGCAGAGGTTTACCATTCAAATGTCTACCATTAGATTTTATGGGAATGTATGCTTTAGCTGGACTCGAAGCTGATGAACGATTAAGGGGTAAAATTTATGACTATGTATTGAAAGATATTAATAGAAGACGAGAATATGCCCGAAATTTGACCCAAGGATCTGCTACTTGTATGTAATTTATGATATTTACTGAGTAATTCAAATATTAATATTTTAATTAATTTTAGGTTCAATTGAAAAAGCTATGGCACAATTACCTCATATTTTGCCTGATTATATGTTATTATTTGCTATTTCAATTTTAACACACTCTCCTGTGTATAAAGATAATAGAGATGAGGAAAGTCTGACATTAATGCAACAATGCTTATGGTTTATACTTGAACCACTTATCACTAAAAATGACTCTTATAATTTTGGTTTTTACAAAGAGATGTTGGAAAGAGTTAAGAATTATGTTGATGCTGTAGAACCAACTAATGAAACAGTCAATGCGGTAATTTTAAAATACAATTTGATATTATATGAGTCTTATATAATTCTCATATCTTTATGTAAATAAAGTTTTATACCATTCCCTGATAATAACTTTACAAAAAAAATGTTGTACTCCATTATTTGAACTGTTTCAGATTAAATAAATTTTTATTCATAATAGTATAATTTAATTGATAGCTATGTTCACAATTTTTGGCTTTTTAATTTGAACTTTAGTATTATATTTTAGATCACATCTATGTTGATATTAATCTGAATTCAGATTTTTTTTACTTTAAAACTATTTTTGTTCCAAAACTATCTCTGTCTTAAAGTAATTTACAATAATTAATATCATTAATCGTAACAATTTGTAATAACCAGGGACTTGATTCAATAAATTATGTAATATTATTAACCCTGAAACATCTATCAGCCTTCCACCACAACTTTGCCTGGCAATTTATTTTTCATATTGAAAATAAGTAGAATTTCTCTGTGCTATTTCAAGTTTTTTTTTTTTTTTAATGCATTAATTTTCTGTATACATTAAATGGTATAAATTCTTATAAACAAAGAAGAAGAAATTAGTACCATTATTTTATTTGGCATACATGTCGTATGCTATCTACCAACAAATTGTCGGTGTCGTATGCTATCTACCATAAACCAAACAGTTAACCACAGCAATAACTTTATAGATCCACGTACAGGTGGTCAAACATAGACTATTGAATGCTTATGGAAACAAATGCAAGTAAAGTATGGAATCAAAGCTCGTGGAGTGTCCAATCTTGAAAGACAGTTGTAAGAAGAAAAGTGGAGATCCGTCAATCAAAAAAATGTTTTTTACAAGATATAAAAAAACATTTTTGTAAAAAAAATTAAAAAAAATATGAACAACTGTTAACAGAGTATTTAAGATAGGACAACTGTGAACCACAGGCATTGATACGTATGTGTAGATTTTTGTGGATATGATTTTCTTGGTAGATAGCATATGACACGTGTGCCTTTTATTTTAACAGTAATATCACTATTTAATATTCAATTAATTTTTATTTAGAAAATGTGGGCTCTTTGTGATTTAGCAATGAGTGTATTAGTAGTGCATACTAGTACTTTTGAAACCTCTCCATTTTCCGAAATAAGAATATCAGCTATGTTCTTTAAGAGGCATGACGATCCCATGTTTGTAAATGTAAAAGTGTACTTGCCAGAAAAATTCCAAATTAAGGTAAGATAAATGCTGTTATTCAAGTATATTTTATAAAATATTATACTTTTAGCAAGTAAATAACAATGGAAAGAAAACAGGACTCTCAGCTGCCTTAAGAACTACAAAAACTAGAGCTCAAAAACATAATATTCCAACTAATCGACTTAATGAATCTAAAGTAGTGAGTATTTTTACTTAAACATATTACATTAAAAATCAAAGATAATTAATATGAAATTTAATAATATTTATTATTATAAATTAAATTTTATTTTGGTAAAATATCTAAAATCATATTTTTATTATAAAGTTTCATGATACTTACAATAATCTTGGGTAAATATTTGTAGTAACTAGTTATCTATACTGAGCCTTGAGGTTTCAGGCCTCTAAAAATATTTAATACTAGCTGAATTACTCGTCGTTGCCGGTTTTAAGTATATAAATGTATGTAACCTGCCAAGATTAAATTTTGTTAAATCTATTGAAATTTAAATTAATTAAGATTTTTGAAATAATATTTTATACATATTAATTTAGTTTTTAAGATAATGATTATTATCATAACCTATTCGATAAGTTATAGCTTACAACTACCTGAACCTCTACAGTTTGGTATTCTGTTGAATACATATAGCATCTCACTTCTCCGAATATTTTAACTTTTGTCAATAAGTTCATGGTCTTTTTGACTTAAAACCGAAACACTCTTGCAATTATATCATGTCGATCATATGATCTTTGACCGGGAAGTAAGAGCTCTTTTATCTCGTCCCAGTGAGGATTACATGTAAAAGTAATAAAAAGGTCAGGACGAGCATAATGTCTAACGTAGGTCATAGCATCTTGTGTTCTTTCGTGCATGTACCTTGGCCCACCAGTAAAAGTTTACGGGAGTGATAACCATTTGGCCTAACTGATAAGCTTCTATGTCTCGTCGTCCTTCTGCATCTTTTAAATTAATATAACTATCTGCACGCAATTTGGCTTGGTTGTTTTTGATGTAATTTAGTCTTTCAGTTTCAATTTTGGCGTATTCATCTACCAAATATTAACTGAAAAGAGAACGATAATTAACTAAATAGTTGTCTTCCCCTTCTCTGACCATTATTCTATATGAGTAAAAACTTGATGCAGAGACAGTTTTTTTAAGCGGTAACTTGGTTTTTGGATCGCGTTGTGGTATATTGATTGCATACCCATCATCCCCTCCCAACAAAACATTAAAGGATGCTGCAATGCGTCGTATGCTCGATGTATCTCACTGATACGATGAAGTGAGTTACTTCGGTTTTCGAGGATGATGTCTCCTTCAATCAAACTGCTGATCTACTAACACTAAAGCAACTTCATTTGCTGTTAGTGCATTATACCTGCCTCTATGTTCTTCTGGTGGTTTTTTATCTGCATGTATTACAACTTTAAATGACTCTGAAGGAGATATTTTATCGATGGTAAATTGTAATGATCAATTGTAAATTATGTGGTGGCATGTCTAGTAAATCCAATAAGTTTAAAAACTGTTGGATAATTTACAACTTCAGTAGCATCGCAAACTGTATCTAGATTTGTATGACACCAAGTTTTCTGGTAACAAATTTTGTATCTTGAGATTCAATTCGTTGACCTCCACATTTTTTGCTACTAAAATTGCTCTTTCTGCCAGCCACTCATGATTTGTGTATTGTCTGTGTACACTGGGACATATCTGGTCAATGAGAGCATCTTGTGAATAAATGATTGTGCAGAAATCGTTCGGTAATTTTATACATCCCGTTTCATCTGTAGTAACTTTCCCATCTCCAATATCTAACAATTGTTTTGAGAATCTTTTGCACGCAGCTTTTTTTGATTGAATCGAAATCGAAGTATCGAAATCGTTCGCTATCTATCTTTATATATATTTCGACCATGAATTGTTGACAAAGATTATGCATCGTAAAATAACTTAGTCCTGATCGCGTCTAATCATCAACCGATATGCATAATAATTTTTTGAACTAACATTCTTATTTGTTTTGGCACCTGTTGCGGGATCTTTTTGTTTAATATTTATGCAATACCCGTCATTTACTTCCAAAAATAAAAATAAAAGTTTTTAATTAGTTTTTAATAGTTTTTTAATAATTTTTTAATAGTTTTATTTAATATAATTCATTTTCAATAGCGCAGTTATCGACCTGGTCAAAAAATATTAAACCAATTTCAACCCTTTAAATTCAAAATTTTTCGAAAAATCTTTTCTTAGTGCACATTTACATCATAATAGCTATCTGTATGTCAAATTTCAGCCAGATCCGTCCAATGGTTTGAGCTGTGCGTTGATAGCAGTCAATCAGCTTACTGTTTTATATATACAGATATATTACCTATTAGTTGACAAAATAACTTATTAATGATAATATTCTATGTATCATTTTTTTTTTTTTTTTTTTTATTGAAATTAAGGATAATTTTAATATATGCTTTCTAGAAGTTAACGGTTTTCCTCAACATTTCTTAATAATAGTAATATTAAACTATAATCAACTATAAGTTGATGATATTGTTGTATTGATTTGGTTATATATTAAGTAGTATTAATTTTAGAATAATAAAGGTTTTTTTTTTTTAATATATGATTTTATCATAGGTAGAAATTGTATACTTATATTTTACTAATTGACTAATGATGACCAAACCATCCTTGCGAGCTTATTCCTTACATTGTAAGGTAGATGACTTGATTTGTGGGGCCTCCTAAGAACTGTTGTTTGTTAGGAGGTCTGAAGTCAATACAACATATATTAATAACCTCATTTTTTTTAAAAAAAGATAATATAACCATCATGAAATTATGTCTATTTATTAACTTCTACGGTAAAATGATTTGATTTATTAAACTTGTTATTAATCTCTGAAACTGTACCAATGTAGATTATACACCAATTTAGTAATCTCTTAACTTCCATGAAGTAATTAAATAGTTTTTATTCACAAATTATTTATTATTAAGAAACTTAAATAAATTATAGAATTACTATTTAATTATTAAATACTATATTGATATAATTTTTAAATGTGTAAATCATAATACATATTATTTTTTAATAGAATAATGATGTACCAGATTCCACTACGTTGGATATGTCTGTTGAAGTGCGTATAAATTATGTTGTAAAGAATTGTAAATTTCTATATTCTACTCTTGTTTATTTTATTTTTTTTGTAGAGAGAAGAAGAAGAAGAAGTTATTGAACCCAAACGTAGAAGAACAACACGTAACAATAATTTTAGTTGAACTTTATTAAGTATTGACTTAAATGTAATTTAAAATTGTTATATACTAAAAATTGTTAATAATTATTTATTTTGTTAATATTTTCTATATAATTTTTTAAAATTTTGAACTCTTAATATCATTTTCGTGTAACTATTTTTAAGTGACATTTTGGTATCAGTCTTGTCCACAAAACATAAATAAATGTATAAGACTTTTCTTCTCTATTAAAATATATCCTGAACTGTATTCCACTATGCTTGTTTAATATAAATTTTTTTTTTTCTAGATATATATATTATATATATTAAAATTTTCTATATTGTATAGTATTTAAATTAAAATACAAATAGGAGTTCAAATATTTTTGTTAATTTAATTAATTAATTTAGATTGATGTGATATCAAATCAATATTACTAAGATACACTTACAATTATGTAAAAATGTTGCCTTACCTATTAAAATGTAAGATATGACCTTAGAGAGCACTGTTAAATAATAAATAAATTAGTTCAAATCATATTTTTGTAAAAATTTTAAAAAAAAAAGTTAAAAAGAAAAAAATATTTTTTAAATTTGTCATTAGTTTAGTTTAATGTTTTCATTACTAAAATATAAGTACTTATGTAAAAATAAATTATTTTCTGAAAATAAATTGTATTTTTGATTGAAAGATTAGGTTTTTATTATTGATTGTTTTTGTTAATATATTATCATAAATTGGAACCAATATAATGAAATTCAACTATAATTCAGAGAGAAATATGAGTGCCATTAGATTAACTTCTTCATTTTATTACATCAAAGTAACTATATATCTAATAGTTACATAAGTATATTTAAAAAAATTTGTATTACTGATCTTTAATAATATATCCTAACAATTTAAAATATGTACAAACGATGCTGTTGATTTTAAAGATAACTTTGTTTATTTAAAGTTAATCGAGAGTCTTGATTAAATATTTTTAATTCATTTTATTTGCAATTCCTGTTTTAGGTGATTTAAGTATAAATTAATAATAATTTAATTCCATTAAGAAACATTAAACTGATATAGTCTAACTTTTACACTCTGAATCATTTTTTTTTTTTTTTTTGGGTAATATTACGTTGGTTTCAAGTTTATAATAGAAATACATTAATACTATTCATCTGATCTAGAAGTTTCACTTTTTCTTTTTTTTTTTTTTTTTGTCAAAAATCAACTGTACAGTCACCTTTATGATAAACATATATTTAATACAAAAATATGTATATTTTTAACATCAGTAGAAGAAACAATGAATAAAAACTATGAATAACAATTGCATTGGATAGTTAAGAATCTAAATAGTTTAAAAAAATCAGAACGACATTATTTTATTTTCATTGGGCAATCATCTATTAAGAACGGACTGTCTAACACACCATCACCTGCATGCACACCTCCTTCATTGCATGATGTTAACTTTGAACGCATCATATGTCCTACTTGTTCATTTATCAATATGTTATCACCATCACTAAAATATAAATTTTTAAATTAGTATAAACTTTTATTTTTCAACAACTAAAAGTCAAAATTAATTCTTAACACACCATAATATTATGCCAAAAATACCAAGTTCGGATACTACATCACATAAGGAAGAATTTTTCTTAAAATCTTGATTTGGTCTAATTAAGTAATTTTGTTGGACAGGAGGATTTATTTTGTCCATCAGTATCCATGCAGACCGTTCTTTACTGTTCATGCAACTAGTAAGTTTCTAAAAAACAATGGAAAAATTAATATATTTAGAAAAAAAATTCAAATACTTTTGTTACATGTCTGATATCTTCCCCATACAAGTTGTTGCCACCCCCTTCTCTTTGTGGTTTTAATACAAACCGTTCTGGACAGTCTAAAGCCATTTTAACAGCTTTATCACCATCTTCATTCTGAATAAAGAAGGAAATTAAATAATTTTTTTTTGACAAATCATATCTGCATAATTATTACTGACCAAGTCGAGAGCATATAATCCTGTGAACATTTTTCGAATATCAGTAGACTTTTTAGTATCTTTGATGAAACGTTCAAGCATTCCTGGAGTTGCTAGTGCTTGTTGTACCTAAAATTATTTAAACTTAATATTATAATTCTTACTTAATAAATTATTTGTTATTAAGAAGGTTCGTTCATTTTTTATTATGCTACATTTAAGAAAATAATTTGAATTCCTATAGTTTTGTTATATGATACAATGATTTTGTTACAGGTAAAACTTGACTAAATATATTAAAAAAATACTCAAATTAAATTAAGTTTTGTTTGCATACTTTTTTAGTTCCTGCCAGATGGTACTGAATGTTGGGACATTTTATGGCTTTTGAACGTTCAATCATCAAGCGTGCTGACCATTCAGCTTCACTATGATAATGATCAGGTGTATAACCAGCTCGGAAATAAACAACAGCAACTTTTTTTCCTTGACTAAATAAAACATTATTTTATATAATTTGTAGATAATGGTATTGTTAATTAGTTAGTAAATCATTCTTATCATTTACACAATAAGATCTTTGGTATCCGAAAGTTTTGCTTCATTTGCTATTTGAGTTAAATTCTTACGGATTACATTTAATTCTGGTTTTTGACGAGCAATTTCAAATTCATGAAAACGTTGGTCACAGACATTCATTGATTGATTTTCAATAATAATTAAAATGACTGAACTGAAAATATATTAAAAATATTATATTTTAAGCTTTTTATCAATCAATCCAATCAGATGTATGTGATTGGTTTATATAACTTATTCAATATGAATAATATAAATACAAAAAATATGAATAGCTAAACTTACTCTTTGTCATTAAAAAGTTCCCAAGCTTTAATGATTCCAGAACATAGGCCTTGTAAAGCTTTATTTTCGGGCAACTAAATTTAAAATATATATTATAAACAAGATGGAAAAAATTTAAAAAATTGTCTGATGATACAACATTTGTAAGGTCAATAAATAAAAAATGCTCACCATTTTCAATTTATCTAACAATCCCATCTGTTGGAAGAAAAACCTACAGAAAAAAAAAGATTATCAACAAAGAACATAAGTACCACTGAACATTTAACAATTTCTTCGTGTTAATATTACATTTAATTCAACATTAAAGACCTCTGTCTACGATAAATTATAATTTTGTACAATATTATTATTATTATTATTATTATTCAAAAAGGAAAAGTAAATGGAAGACTATTGTAGATAGTTATTAAAACTAAATAATTTTTTTACAATTGGAGTACTCGAAAGTAGGTATACATGAAGTATTAAGCCCGAATCTGCAGATAATAATGTACCTGTGAGTAGGGGCTGTCGATGTCAAACCGCCAAAGCTCGAAGCGATTGTGTTCAATTCCACTTGCTTCACGGAAGAAGAATTGCAAACATCCAACAAGTAGTCTGACCTCAATAATCCCAGACACCTTGACTGTAAAGCACCACACATCAACAAAATACACATTGTGTGTCCTTTCTGCGGTCTACAGAAGAATTGAGTGCAAACCCCGAGTAGAGGAGATTCACATTATTTTTATTTTTTAGTTTTTTTTTCCAAAATCCAACAAGCATTTTTTCCCTCAATATTTTCAATAAGTCAATGTTTATAGATACTATTCAAATGTATAAAATTTATTTTGATACAAATGTCACCAATGTTATAAAAATAATTAAATATTATGTATTAACATCTAACATTAAGCATTATATTAAATTATTATTCTATGATCATATAATGCTGATAGGCACGTGTGGTTGAAAAATTCAAACATTTTTTTTTTTTTTTTTTTTATTAACATATTAAATTCAGTAAAATTAAAAATCATTAAATGTTTATAAATTTTAGAGCTACCTTAGTTTTTAGGGTATTTTAATAATGTAACCTAGACAACCAGTGGCTTTTGCAACACCTTATATAATTATTATTTACAAAGATAAAACATTTGATATTTGATTTTAAGACCAAATATAATTTATCATTATTAAATTTTAAATTAATTTTTCTATTTTTTTCAATTTTTACCAAAATTAAATATATTTGTGCCAGATGGTATTTATTTTTTTTGTAAAAAATAAGTTATTACATATGCACATACTAATAATACTACAATATAGAGAAAACAGATTTGTATTTTTATTAATACTGATATAATAAGAAATATTTACTAACTTTTTTAAAATACTTAAGTATAATTTTAAATATGGTTATAATTGGTAAAAGTAAATAACTTTTGAGATATTTAATCAAATTGTATTCAATGGATGTTCTAGTTTACAATTTTCGCCTATAGTATGCCAATAACAAATTATTTTATACTTCTTTTTTTGCATATTACAGATACCTAATTGATAGTTAATTAAATTTCAATTAAATCTTTCTATTCATAATTTTAATTTGAGGTTTAGACTTATAGAAATTTGATTATAAGTAGTTAATCTATCCCGTCCAGCGCGACGATAGTGGCGCGAAGTAAAAAAAAAAAAAATAGCGTATTAGCCACGAATGTAATAACAGGAGCTAGAGTTGTACCATTGAAAAACCGTTAATCCTTTGTCCAGCTCTACAGGGCAAATGGCTGAACATAAAAGGTCATGTAAAGAATCAATCGATCAGAAATGTTATGCAGATGGGAGCAGAAAAACTCACAATCAGATAAGTTAAATAGCATAAAAGTTATAAGTAAAAATATTCAAGTAATTTTAAGCCCGATTTTTCGTATGCTACGATAATTTCGTACAAATATAATGTTATCCCCTAATTCGCCGCTTCATCCATCCACTCCACTACCAGCGTTGTTGCCGTTGCGTAGTGCGACCATAGAGTAAGCATATACGACGAATAACGACAACGCACGGACAGTTGGGACGACGGTGATGCGGAGAAACCCGCCAACATTTATACTTTCAAATACAACTTATACTTAGCCAATATATTTTTTACTTGGCAGGAAGTGTAAATAAATATAATTGAGTAATCCACATCGTAAATTTCGTAAATAATTCAATAATTTATAAACAATATGTGTTGGCTAAGTGTTTAACTTTACAATTAATTTAATATTTTGTCGTTATAGGTATTTGTAATATTACAAACTGACATTTTACTAAGTTTCCATATTATATCACGTCGTTAAAAGATTTAGTCATCACCAAATTTATTATCCAAATTTATCATTATTTTTTTTTATCATACCTTTTTTTTTTTTACACGGAGTTATAACAAAGTGTTTTTGGTGGGATTATAAGTTCAAATACAATAAATTAATTTTTTATTTTGAGTAAATTTATATTTTTGTCTGGTACTAAAAAGTTTCATAAATACTTAAATTAGGTTTAAAATAAAACTGAAAATCATATTTATTTATATTTAAATTGTCTAATACTTTAGTATAATAATTTTATCTTACTATACTTATATAATGGACCATTATAAGCATTATTAATGGTATGTCGATTCTTGAGCATGAGATATTTAGAAGCGCTAAAATAATTAGAGGTGATTTTAAACTATTTCATTGTAGTAAATATTAAAATTACAAATGATTTATAATTTTAAATTCAATTTATAATTCTTATTATTTAAGTTTATTATATAACTTAGGTATGCTATGATATATTAATAATTTGAAATCATAATTTGAAACATAACTTCTTTAATTTATAACAAAATTTATAAAATTTATTTTTCTCACAACTTTTCTATTAAAACAATTTAATTGCACAGTAAGATCAGCTTGCCATTAAGTTACCATTAAATCAAAAATATTACCAGACAAACATTGATAAGATACAATAATAATAATGGTCCAATTACATTGAAGATCAACTAGTAACTGTGTTATGGTTTTCAATATTTATCACAAAACTTAATTATTAATATATATTTCCAATAATTTAATATTTATAAATGTGTATCAATGATTAATATTAGTTACACCAAAAAGTTAGCCTCCCCATATTTATCATTACTACTAGAATAAAATAATAACATTTGATAGAAACATTTGTCCTACACTCAAGTGTTCATGTCCAAATATCATACAACCTTATATATTTATAATTAAAGTAAAAAATATTCAACTGTAAATATAATTTTATATTCTCATATTTCAGAAATATACTCTATGTTTAAATTTTTTATGAATCAAAAATTAAATTTTTTTTTATTAAAAAAAAACACATTAAAAGTTCAAATATATTTAATATATGTTAACTTAAATGTTTATTAATTACTGCTCCAAAATATTTGTAATATTTTTCATTGCTTTACTTATACTAACAAATGCAATTAAAGCAATAATGCAATATCTATAAGAAAAAAAAATAATACTGTTAAATAAGTGCCATCAAATATTATTTTGTTAGTATACAATTTAAGGCAAGGTATAAAGAAGTTTATATTCAATAATCATACACCACATATTATAGAAATCAATATATTAGTTATTAAGCTGAAATTTAATAGCAATATAAAGCTAAATTCACATGATACATTTGTAAATTACAGAAAATAATAGACCATTTTGTTATTACTCAATAAATTCTCCAATGGGTTCAGATAATATAATTTATAAGATGTATTGTAAGATGAAATGCTTTATTTTTATTTTCAGAACATTTAAGAATATATTTCTATTATAAGAAGCACTAACTAATCTGTAGCTTATAAAAGACAAAGGTCTAATATGAAAAAAATGAAAAGAAAATAATCTGGGTTCAGGTATACAGAAATTTAGATGAGATAAATCCTGACCTGTGAATGTCCCCGGAAACGATACCAAGCCAACCAAATCCGCTAGCAATTGTGTTCATTTCAACTTGTTTGATGTAATAACCGCTTGCTTCCTTTTCTTGCATGAAGTCTGAGCGCAACATTCCAAGGCTTATGCGCTTTAAAAATCATTCAAGATAAGCATTACGTCCCCAATGAAATTAAAACTATAATCTCATAGCATGTTCAAAAGAAACACTAATGAATTATTGTTAATATTTCAATTTGCAAAAATAGAATCATTATTATTTCTTGAAATAATATTCTTTTTATCATTATTATCACTAATTATTTATGTTAGTATTGTTTTCATTTTATTTTTATGTTAAAAAGCATGAAGTATAATGTAAATAAATTATGTCACATTTTACTAAATGATTTATTAAAAAGCTTATTTTATAAATTTTATTAATTTTTTTTAATATACTAATAAATGTATGACCCACTAAGCAAGATATTATCTTAAATACAATTCAAAATGCTTGTTGAATATAAATTATAAATAAGATGAATCATTTTATCATGCTTGATAAATATAAAAAACTTACCTGTGCAAAGCCTTCACTTCTTACAGTTTCATATAAATTGAATAAATTACGTGTAAATTCATCAACTTCTATGGTTCTATAAATAAGTTATGTGTTTATTTTATAATCACTTATTTAACAGTTAATAAATAAATATAATACTTTTCTAAACAAGAGTATAAAAATGCATGATCATTAGAAACATAATGAGTCAGTTCATTTAATGCTGGTTGAATTGAGACTGCTTTTTGGAACTCAGAACGTGGAAAAACTGAAGGTAATAATGTAAATGGTACCACAGTTAAAGAATCATTGGAATACTGTTTTTTTGATCTCATACCACCGCCTATAAATATTTATATAAGTTAATTTGCAATTCATTAAAAGTAAAAAAAATATATATAAAAATAATAACCATGCATAATAGTCCAATCTTTTAATTTTTGTATAAGATCTTCAAATTCATTTTCAGCCAAGTTAATCGGAAGTGATAAACATGGATTTAAGTACACTGCCATTTTACAAACTAAGATATTCAGATATGAATCTAAATAACAAAACTTGAATGAAACTATTAATCTATAATAATAATCAACAATAAAAAACAAAAGTAATAACCTTTTATATGAACCATTAATATACATACATATTAAGCCAGTCAATATTTTGAAAGAAGCACTAAATAATTGTTATTTGGTTTTCAGTCACTTAATAAATGTACCTAATAATAAATTTAACACACACATACATGTAGGCATAAACTGGGGGACAATTGCCCCCCTAGAATAAATTAGGAGGGACAGTGCCTCCTCTGATGTTCAACATAACTTGTTTTAAAATAAGTACAAAATAGCTGATTATAGTTATTACTATAACATTTTTTTTTTTAAATCTTAATTATAAATTTTCGCTTATCTAACCTAATGTTAGAAAATGAATAATTTTATATAATAATATGTAAGTAGTAAAGCGGCGTTTAGCCAGGGATACCCTTTTCGTTAGATATGTAATTATATTTTGCTCCCCCCCCCTAATAAATTTCCAAGTTACGCCTATTTACATACACACTGGTATACCCAGTAATGAAGAAGCCAAGCTAAAAGCAAACCAAGCTATATTATCCATTGAATCAACTACCAAACAAAGATATATTCAGAATAATTTTGATCAAACTTTCATCCAGCAATGGCAATCCCATTGAAACATCATAAAAAACAACAAGTTAAAATATATTTAAAAAAAACATTCATAAATGACAATTCCCCTTCAACACATCCCATAAAGTAGACATTATAACCACTAAAACCAGAAAAGGCCATACTCATCTCATTAGCTCTTACTCCTTCAACCAACAAACAGCTAATCTGCCAACAATACAATACACCACTGGCAATAGAATACCTCACACTCCAATGTTCTAATTACAACAAAGAACAACACATTCTAAAACACCCCACCAACACGGAGGAAATACTAAATGGAGCTAACATAGATGCCATCTACAATTATTAAAATGCTATTAAATTTATAAACCTATTATAAAAATCAGTTAAATGTAAATATATATTTATTTATTATTAAGTAACCCTATGTAAAATCTTAGATAAATGACCCTATATGTTGAAGCATTATCCTCAATGAAAAAATATAATAATAACAAAAAAAAAATTGAATTAATGAATAATTTTAATATAAAAATTAAAATTAATATTATAGTTATTAAAAAATTCATCAATGTATAAAAATATTATAAATTTTAATTATTTCTAAAGAAATAAATGTCTTAACATGGAACATATATTATTTGGTATTTATGAATGATATTTATAAAACATTTTATAAAATTTCAAAAAATTCATAAATAAACAAAAATATTAAAATATTTATCTATTACTTGCTATTTATTTTTCATAAATCATTATTTATAAAATATTTCTACAAGCTTCAATAACTCCAAATGATTAAATAAACATATAATTTTATAAATTAACCGAAAAAATAATACATCTACTAAAATATAACAATTTTGTAACAATTAGTGTTAACTTTTTTATGCATTTTTTATGGATTATATAAGTTTTTAAATTAAAAATACGAAATACTCCAAATAACTATTTAACTGTTGTAGCAAACCCCGTATCCTTAGTTATACTTATTCTTATACTTATACTTAACCCGTATCCTTAGTTCATAGCCCAAAAATATAATGAGATGATTAAGAATAAATTAAAAAATAGTTAACTAAGGTATGCAGAACCTTTTTTTTATGGCCCTCTAAATATATAAAATTGTGTTTAACATTTTAATTTTATATCTTAAACTGTAATAAATAAAATAAAATGTAATTATTATACTACATATATATATATTGTTCTCAAGTTCTCACAAAATATAAGCTTTTATGAAAATAGTATACATGATATTATTATATATTTTTTTCAAAATGAGTTAGTAAGGTTAACCTCGTATTATAAAATTAACAATATGATATTTGCTGTCCATAAATATATTAGAAATATTAGAATTGGAGGTTAAAATTGTATTTTTACCTATGTTAATTTTGATTTTGTATGTAACCCTCCATAAAAACTGATAAGAAATAAGGCTCTCATAAATAAAAAAGTTACCAGCCACTGATAAATTTAGCAGTTAATTACAAATTAATATAAATTAAAAAAAAAAAATAGTCATGGAATTTTATAACAATTTTTAATCAAGTATGATTGGTTATTTTTTTTATAAAATGCTATAAACTATATAAGTAACAATGTAGTTAATTTAACTCACCAATAATCTTATATATAGATAATATATTAATAGATGATATATTAATTAGAAATGTCATAAAATTAATTTTAGTAAGACTTTAATTATACTATGTTACAGATATAATAAAAAATCATACGGCTTAATTGTTATGGCCTTGGATGATAAGATTATATTTCCATATTTCCATCTCTTCTAATTATTTGGTTGTATAAGTCAATAATTGTATCCAATTCGTATACTTATCGAGCAATAACTGTCAATTACACTATATTATCAAATCGAACATTTATAAACGTTGTTCTCAATTATATAGATAAACATGCATCATAATATTTTACTTCCTTTGAATGTTATAAAAGATATTATTAAACACAGATAATAGAAAAATATACTGTACAAGCTATCATATAAATTAGAACTTATAGTTAAAAAATTATCGTTAATGATATATTATTGACATACTACGCATATCACACTTTTCCTATCCATCTTTTTTGATAATGTATCTATGCATTAAACTATATGATAATTGGAATGCTCACCAAGCAGTGTTACCCGAGAGAGAATGTTAGAACGAGATAGGACATACTAATGGTGTTACTATCTTTGTCTTGCACATGGTACATATTACACAATGACGCATCTATTATACATTTATCTCGATATTAGTTTAGTTTAATTCTTAGAACTTGTATATCCTTATTTATTTTTTAACTTCCACAAAATCTTTTTGATTATTTTAACAGAATATAAATAATTTATAATACAACAAGTAATGAATCATACTTTTCTTGTGGACTTATAAATTTTACATATAAATCATTAAATGTAAAAGAAATTGCAGGAAATTGTATGTTAGGAATAAATTAACTAGTAAATTGAAAGTTAGAAGGTTTTAATTCATTACTATAAGTATATAAAATAACGACAATTTTATTTTTAGTAAAATAATATTTATTAAAATAAAACATAGTATATATAGTATTAATAATTGAAAGAAAAGTTACTTACACTACTTACCTGAAGCTGTATCTACTACTTATCTTAAATTGTACTTACTACTTTCCTAACTTAACTTAATATTGTAGAATTATAATCTAGAAACGATTAATAGGTACTGGAAAGATCCAGTAAACAAAATCTTCAATACATTTTTGTTATAATTCTTGGCCAAAATTTCCTAAAATAAATAATCATTTAAAGATACTATAAGAAATTGTAGATACTTCAACTATAATCATAACCTTGGAGTTAAATGATCTGTTAAGTTAACTAAGTAACTTATGTTGAGTTGACTTCAACTAGATTTTTCTGTAATGATTGTTGTTTAAAGTAATCAATTACTTCATGTAAAATACCTGGGTTGCAATGTCTAGTAGCTAACCATCTACGAATAGTAGATGGATCTGGTATTGTACATACTTCTTTGCCTTATAAACTCATATACTCTAGGGGAATAAAAATGCAATGTTAAACAAAATTCCCGTATTTCTTCTGAATATGATTTGTGATTTGAAGCATAATTTACATTAGCAATTTCATTTTTAAATAAAGCAAAAGGTAGAAAAGAATCAAATTGGTTCTTAAAAATATCTTCAACAGTATCTCCAATTAAGTGATTATATTTTAATTAATTGAACATTTCACGCATACTACTTACTCGCTTATCTCTTCTAATAAATTTCTGTTGCAAAATCCTCTTATCTCGACGTAAATTTTGTAATGTTCTGTCTAACTCTTCCCCGGTTAATTTAGTCTATACGCCAATGGCTACAAACTTGGTTTATATGGTATGCTATATCGGTTATGTTTACATTGGTCTTATGGCTGGTGGGGCGTCACCCGATTGCGGCCCAAAGTAACCTTTTTACCTTTTCACCTATCCCGATTGCGGCCCGTACATAGCAGGTAGGAATTACTATTCAAGTGGTTATCAAAACCAAATAAATATCCCAATTGCGTCCGATACGTACTTTGACATCGTAATCAACTATCGTAATCACGATTCACACGATAACCAATATTTGGCGTGGTAATTTCCATAGATGTATACAACAACTATTAACTATTTTTTTACTGTAGACAATTTAATATTTAAATATTCGACTATTTATTGACTATTTACTGACATAATTGTATTTCATATCTTTATATATTGTAAAAAATTTATTTTTTTGTTATTTTACTATTTGTTACTGCAATCTTGTAATTATACTTTTAACATAAATATTAAACATTTTGTGAACCAATGTGTGTCTGGACGCAATCGGGCAACTTTGGGCTGGTGAGCATTTCAGTTCATCATATACAGTATGACTCGCTTAAAACGCTCCCGCTTAAAACGCCATTTTCCGTCGGTCCCTAGACAGTTCCTATACTAGTCAATGTAAAAACCACCAATTAAGACGCTCGGGTTTTCTCTATCTCATTGGATAAAACGCTCTTTTGTTTAGCAGATTATGATAAATTTTAATAGGTTTGTGGAAATATAAATATAAATTTTACTTGTTTACGTATTCTTATTGTTGTATCGTTTTATTTTATCACAGTGGCGTAGCCAGGATTTTTAAATGGGGGGGGGGGCTAACTACTTTATTGGATAAGTAAGGTAAGAGAGGATATGAGAATTCAGTCTTAACCCCCCCTCACCATCTACCACCAAGTTTCTAAACGTAATTCAAGCATTTTAGTATAGTTTTAAAAATATTTATTAATATATAATTAATATAATTAATATAATTAATTAATATAATAATAATAATAATAATTTTGGTATCAGTGTTCAGTCACTTGCTCCACTCTGACAGCTGCATCCTCTTAGGCGAATTTCTGGTAAATTCAGTTATTATTTCACTTTCATCGAATTGTTCTTTTTTATTTATATTAGCCGTAGCTAACCCATTCAGTCTGTTCAGTCCATTCAGTTCCGACATGGTGATTCTTAAAAAAAAATTTAAGCAATTAAGTGCTGAAAACGTTCTTTCCGGAGTGAAAGAGGTAACGTGGCGAATAATTGTAAAAGTATTTTAATGTTAGGTCGAAGATTGGTGTGATGAGAGAGTGAATCAAGAGCAGAATTCGGTTTTGGAATAGTATTTTGACTCCATTGTTGCTTCCATATGAACAGGTTAGCTCTGATTATAGATGAGGTATCATCATGGAGATCTTGGACATATATTTTAGCAGTTTTTATAATATTTTTATCGTCATACATATTTAAATTGGTCGGAATAAGTTCTTCAAATGGCATAACATCAATAAGCCTTTAATTAAAACGAGCATCCATTGATTCTATTAAATAGTCAAGATACATTATACATATAAACACGGCCCATGGGGGGGGGGGCTATAGGCCCCTTAGCCCCCCCTTGGCTACGCCACTGTTTTATCACTATACCTATTTTATCATTACCTATTATTATTACCCAGTATCTACTCTAACAATTACTGCTGGGTTGCAACACCTAACAGAAATTCGAAAAGTATTATCCTTTGTAGAAAATGTTGAAGAAATGTAACCCAACATTTCAACGAGACAACCCAGTCTCAACAAAATAGAAAACTTTCTTGCTGAGACGCATTGTCAGCATCGTAAACAAACAAAAATATATCAATTTTTAAATAAACAATAATAAAATATTTAATAATAATTTTTTTTAAATTAAATTCAGTAGCAAAAAATATATGTATACATTTATGTCATTACATATACATATATAATTTATTAGTGTATTGCCCGTTAAATTATATTCAATAATAAAAAAATTAACTCCACATTTCAATCACTTCATTTTTTTTCCAATCCCGCATAAGACACTTTTCCGCTTAAAACGCTCTAGAGAGCTGGTCTCTTAAAGAATGTCTTAAGCAAGTTTTACTATAGTTCAATGATGAACGATTAATAATTTTATCAGCATATCTATTATCATCAAGCTACAGTCTGTGATAAAAGTTACGAGTCCATTACAATATTTTTACAATTATTTTTGAGACTTTATCTTCTTAAGTTTGTTCTAGGTCCACAATAAACAGCTAGAACAAGTTTCGTTTCCTCATTCAAGTGGGTGCTCTTTGTCGTTGTCGCTCCTCCGCTTTTCGCTCCTTCAAGATTCTTCCGACCATGTCCGAGATGCATTTGTGTTACAATATTCGAGACAGTGAGTTTGCTAATACCCAGATATGAGCAAACTTCGCTCTTCCACATATCCCATGCGTCGCAGGCTAAAACAGCATGTTCTGCGTTATCAGTCCCTTGTCCACAGATCGGACACACGTCAGTATCTGTCCAGTTAAACCTTTTCAAATACGCCTGGAAGCAGCCATGGCCAGTCAGGAACTGGGTCATGTGGAAGCTGACGTTACCATGATTTCTGCTACACCATGCTTTTAGATCTGAAATCAATCTGAATGTCCATCGCCCATCATGTGAAGCTTCCCATTTTGGGAAGCTATATTGCCCTCTCCAAGGTATTTTCCAAGTTACGCCACTGGTCATATCCATTGTTTTGATTGTTTTTTTAACACTTTTGTATACTTTGTGGCAACGTGCAGATAGGACTTGACTGATTGTGACCGGTAGTGAGAACTGTACATCATAATCCTTGACCGTGACTTGACCATGACCGGACCGAACGGAGAATACTAGTGTGAATCGAGCTTAATATTTTCACTACAATCTTGTATTTTAGAAATAATAACTTAATTTTCATTGTCATTATATTCTAAAAATAAAATTATGGGTTTTTCTAATTTTATAGAAAAAGGTAAACCGGTTGTGATGTATAACGTCTTTGATATTTGATACTATTGATAAGAAACACTTTCAAGTGCGTAGCGTTTTTTCCGTTACCACTTACTTGTTATTCACGTGTTAAGGCAACACATTATTAATATGTAAATTAAATTTGTTTTCTTCTAAATAATAAAAGTTACAGTCATAACGTATAAAATCATATCTTATTAATTATTTGGTACTTCTATGATTCTAACACGGTATCAAACATTATACCGGTATAAAAAATAATCTAAAAAAAATATGGAAAAATGCTTTCAATTTTATAAAAAATTCACTATAAAAATGCGTTACACAATTTATTTATTGTAGTTTAAAAACGATATTATAAAAATCATGTTACCAAACGTATTTAATTATTTTTATTTAACATAATAATAATAAAATAAGTACCTATTTATTTAATATTTACATTTAATTTAACTTTATTTAAATTTAATTTATTTCGCAACTAGCTGTTATGATCTTCGTTGAACTCTTGCAAACAGAAAAATTTCTTTTGACAATTTTAATTTTTATCTATTTTTGATAAAATGGATACATATGCCGATATGCTCGTATTTAAAAGTTTATCAATTTAGTAAATTACATACAGTTTAAATGATGGGCATAATGGAATGATTTCAATAATTGAAATATAAGTATTCGATACATTTTTATAATCAAGAGATGTTTCCATATAATTATTCGAAATATTAATAATCGAGATACGTGATTAGTGATGGACACAATGGACGATTTCAATGATTTCTGAGAAATTTTTGTTGTTTAATGGTTGAGTAATTCAAAAATTATATCTATATATTTATGTCTAACTTTAAAATATAAATAACTAACAATAACCGTATACCCATCAATATTTGTCTAACGACCAATCCTACGAGTAGCACGAGTCGAAAATATACATACTCACAGTCGACAACTAGTACCTATTTACCAGCCATACACGTTACGATCTACCGAAGAGGTCTACCTGTGCAGGTATACCGGACGTCTGTCGTGTCTCTGGTGTACCGGAGAGGTCTTCAGTTTTTTCACGATGGGATCGAACGAGGACACAACTAGCTTTGTTAGCCCTCGCGTTAATTATGAAAAAAAAAAGAAACAAAACCAGTGAAAAGCCTCAATTTCTCTGAGTTTTTCCATGAGCAATTTATAAGCAGCTTCTTTTTTTGTATCGATCATGGTACTCTTTGTTTTTGACTATCCAAAGGCACACGTATGCGTTTTATATATTTCAATAAAATCTTCAAGGACTTTTTTAGAAAAATCTGTTAGTGCCATTTTTGCGTATTGAATTTTTGATACACGTGACTAGTGGTAGACACTACCGAGTGAAAACTATTAAACTATTCGGTAGTTGAAACTATCTATTTACTCGGTTGTTTAACCGATTAACCCGATTGTTTTCAGACAATCTAAACAATCGACCGTTTTCGTTGTATCTGAGTACTACTTAATTAGTATTAATGCTTGTTTTTTGATTTGTCTATTTCCGGATCTATTTCAGTGTATGATTTATTATTATTTTATTATTAATAAAAATATATATAATATAAAATATTAATAAAATTTTTATTATTTTATTATTTACATGTTTATTTCATAATTTCACTTCCCAAAACAATTGTTCTATCGTTTAGAAGCATTTTAAAAAGGATTCAAATGACTGAAACGTGGTTATTTGCACTATTTATAAAAATAATTATAAAAGATCTAATGATACAACTAATTTATTGGATCACCTAAAAATAAGTAAATAAGTCTGGTTTTATACTTGTGGTTTGTGATTTAGTGCAGTGCTGGCCCGACGGTTTTCAGGGCCCGGTGCAGAATTTTGCGGGGCCCCATACAAATATATTAATTTATTAATTTATTAATTGTTTATATAAATCTATGTTTTTTCGTATTATTATATAACTCAATATATACTATAACTGTATTTCGAACTGTTGTCGACGATAAACAATTTTACAAGTGCATGCGCGTATAATACTTCAAAGCTATGCGTAATTGGTACCATGATAAAATAAATATTTAATCTTAATTTTCATCGATAACAACCCGTTTACTGAGAAGACCACACGACCACGTGGGTGGCGATTTAGATTTTTTTTGGGAGGGCTGTGATATTTTCTCCAACTGAAATTCCCCAATTCAGCTTATTAAAAACAAAAGTTGGAAAATTATTATACAAAATTAACCTATTATAGCGAAAACAAGTAACAACTATACAACGTAAACCGATCACCGTGATAGTGTTATCGGTCGTCGCCGTCACTTCTCAAAAATTTTTTAACACATAGGGGTTCGTATAAAAATTGTACGGTGATTGAGACGCCACAACGCGTGTATATCAGTAAATTAATTCTAGGTAAAAGAATTCGAAATTACGATAATGCAGCAGTACCGTACGTCAAAATTAAGCACAATGTATCAATCTCAATGGTATAATCGTTACGATCAAAATCGTCGACTCTTTACATGAATAACTTGTTCGTTGTTACTAATCTTTATAAAATTATATTGAACTTTTACGATTTATATCTGATAGGACATAATAAGCAGACTTAATAAACAATTCCTGGATTTCGGGGAGGGGGGACTGAAGCCCCCTTAGCCCCTCCATAAATATACCCCTGTGGGACCCCATACAAGCGCGGGGCCCGGTGCGGTCGCACCGTTTGCCCCCCTCCTAGGGCCGGCACTGATTTAGTGATTGATTTTCAGTGTTCAGTGATTTCAGCAGACCATAAATGGCATTGCAAGAATTCGATCAAATTTTCGACTGTTGTTTCCAAAAATTAACTAACTAGTAGTGATAGGCACTATCGAGTGAAAACTAACGGACTATTCGGTAGTTTAAACTATCTATTCACTCGGTTGTTTAAATGATTATCTTGATTGTTTTCGGACTATCTATTAATGTATAAAATAATATTCTATAGTTTCGATTGACTCAATCGTTTTTAAAACTTTCGATAGTCAAAACTAGTCGGTAGCGCCTATCACTACACGTGACAATACGATATCAATACGACACGATGACAACGTTTGACAACAACTGACGCGACCTGCGCAGGCGACCGAAATAGATGCACACACTGACAGGTATACCGTACGGTTACACTGGAAAGAATTGATTTTTGATCTTGTACCGGTCGCCTCTACAGGTTAAAAAAACTGCACAGGTCTATTCCCATACACGCTCTGGTGTACCTGCGCAGGCATGCCTGCACAGGTAGACCTCTCCGGTAGACCGTAAGGCTACGGCTACATTGGAATCGTTTCCGATCCGACCAACATCCTACTCATCCAATATTTGTGGCTACATCATAATACTTATTTCAGATATTTGTCAACTGGTATGTCATTTCGAGCTTTAGAATTTTCATTTAAGCGACATCATTACACCATTGGTAAAATCGTTGAAGATGTTTGTGTTGCAATATGGAATCAACTTTTTACCAAACATATGCCGATTCCCAATAAAGAAAACTATTTAAAAAATATCATCAACATTTGAAGTACTATGGAATTTTCCGCATGTTGTTGGTTGCTTGGATGGAAAACATCTACGGGTAAAGTGTCCAAAAAAGTCTGGCAGTATGTTTTTCAATTACAAAGGTTATTCAATTGTATTACAAGGAGTTGCAGATGCGAATTACAAATTCATATTTGTAGATGTAGGAGCCTACGGTAAGCAGATACGTTTTTAGCCTCAGATTTATATGACATACTTCATAACTACAACAATGTATTACCTCTTCCTACAAAAATCAAAGATACCGAAATTGATATGCCATATGTAATGCTTGCTGATGACGCCTACCCTTTAAAAGAATATATTTTGAAGCCATATTCAAAGCGACAACTGACACATGAAGAAATGATATTTAATTATAGACTTTCACGTTGTAGACGTTGTGTCGAATGTGCGTTTGGAATAATGTGTACCAAGTGGAGACTATTATACAAACCTATCGAAACTAAAATTGAAAAAGCAGAAAACATTGCCAAAGCCATTACTTTACTGCATAACATTATAATAGATTTAGATGGAAGCCCTAACGCGATGGCAATAGAAGAAGCAATGGAAAGTTTCGAATTTCAAAAAAATAATCAAGAAATTACAAATATTTCACGAAAAAGTCTTAATAGATATTCAAATAATGCAAAACAACTTAGAGATACATTGAAATCATATTTTAACAGTCCAATTGGAAAAATTTCATTTCAAGAAATTTGTTGTTATGGAAAAAAAATTAATTAAATAATAAGTTTAGTCATGGTCCATGATATATTTTACACTGTAAAATATTATATACTAATATTATATAATATTATATAAATAATAATAATAATGTAATATAATAATAATAATAATAATATATACTATTTTTATACTACTATAATACTACTTTAATATGTACTATCTAATATCTATTATTAATTTGTATTCCTTTTATATACAGGTATGATGAAAAAAATAATTAAGTTTCAAATGTTTCAAATGTTTCAATATAATAAATATGTTAATATTATATAAAATAATATTTGACTTACCTCTCAATATTTCATTGACCTCTTTCCATTCTTTCTGTTTTAAGTTTCTGTTTTGATATTGTGATGTCCTTTTGTCCCATAATGCTGGTTTTGAGTGAATAATTTCAAATAGGCGCTATTTATCATATTCCATAATTAAATTTAAATTTATTAAATTTATTAAGTTATTTTACTTTTAATATACAATTTTAATTTTAATTTATTTAGTTTAACAAAATTATTGAACACACTGCAGACACAATTGACAAATCACAAATGTCAGGCACGACAAGACAACAAGTACACGTGTGGGTACATGTCGTGACCTGTACACACTCACACACAATAAAAACAATAAATATGGTAGTAATAAATTTTAGGTTTGGTAATTTGATTATAATTTTAATCAAAAAAAACTTTATTTTGTCCGACTCGTCGGATGAAAAACAAATCAATTTGTTTTAAAACCGACGTATCCGACTAGTCGGTACGTCGGAAACGGTCGGAACGGATAAATATAGCCACTACCGAAATTATACATAGTTTGTTTTTCTTCCGACTAGTCAGATTATCGGATCGGATCGGAAACGATTCCAATGTAGCCGTAGGCTAACGTGTATGGCCGGCTTTATTCGATTATGAAGATTAAAAATAGTATTCTTTCTCCCCTTCTTCATTCCATGAAAATCATTCGAAATATTTTTTCATTCGATATAGGTACATTTCGAGATCAAGAATTGATTGTTTTTAAAATAAACGAGATATCACTCGATATAATCCCTCGGGTATATAATCGAATTATTATTTTGATAATCAAGATATGTCGATTGTATATCTCGATAACGCTCATCACAGTTCATCTCTATCCGTTGTCGTGTGCAAACGTTTATTACATAACGTATCTTTTCTTATCGTTGTTTCTAATATCAATAATGGTTTCATGCGTTACCTGTGCGATGAATTTAAAACGCAGTAAAATCGGGTATTATTACTTGTTTATCGTGTAATGGATTTTCCAAATGCAATGCATTAAATTTAATCAAGATCTCGACTATTTAATTTTTGTGAAAAAAACTTGGTCGTGCTCTGTGAACTACAAAAAAAATCTAAGGTTTCTAAATCACATTCCATTAAATAATATTTTCTCTTTGGATATTAAATTGATCATAAAACAATTAAATGTCTTAAAATATAAACCATCCAAATCTCGTTAGTCAACAAAATATGAAATTAGTCTTTTGAAAAAAAATGTACCAAAGATTTTCCTTAAATATCCACTATCAAAGATGAAAATATTCTTCTCCGTCACAACTTGAATATATTATCTGTTCGTATTGAAGCTCTTGGACTCAACCGTTCCATCTCAGAGGACTCATTCCCAGACTTCATCGATCGCCAAACTCGCTCTAAAAATGTAATTTTATTTTATGTTCCTGATGTGCCCAACGAAGAAGGAAAGATGAGACGGAAATTGCATGGAATGAAGTTGGACAATTTTATTGGTAATAGTTATATAATATAATACAATATGCATTCATAATTTCTTCATCACTGTAATTATAAATATAATTACATGGTGTTGAAAAATGCTGATGCACGTCCTACTACCATAACTAAACAGAATAAACTAGTGATTTTTATCACTTTTCAATAGGCTCGTGTGCAGATCTCAGTCACCAATGCGTTAGTAATAAATAATAAATAATTTAAATCATGGACCAGTTTAGTTTCTTTTGAATAGCTCCGTGTGTGAAAGGCCTTAAATTTTCTTAATAATTTAAAAGGGTCCGGTGAAAGAACCGGGTATCTCCACTTTTTGAAATTGTTCAGGAGAAACAAATAACAAAATAATGTAATTTCTAATGGTGGTATACATATTGTAAAAACATATTTGAATTTTCCAAATAAAGATCTAACTATACTTGTATATATATTTACATTTTAGATTATCTTAAGTACATTATTTTTTTAGTAAAAATAAGAAAATATGGAGATACCTAGTTATTGCTCCGAAATTACATTTTTTTTCCCATTTGTTGACTTAACCATTTATGGTGAAAATATAATCACAAATAAAACAAAACCGTGCAACTTTAAAACTCTATGTGATAAACTATGTTATATAACACAAAATAAAGAAAAACAACCTTTTCGAAGATACCTTGTTAATACACCGAAGACTGTTACCAGGCATCTACAATTGTGTGATAATACATTATCTATTGAACCGATATTCTCCGTTAATGCGCTTAAATGTTCATAAAATTATTCTTAATCAGAAAATGTAAAAACCTGATTTTCGAAAAAAAAAAAAATGAAGATACCCGGTTATTGCACCAGACCCTTCCGAAAAATTATTTTTCACTACTCTCTGACCGTCGTATTTTAACTACGTACATGTCCCTAGCACCCCCACATACGAAATTCGTATTTTTTTTTTTGCTTAATATTTAGTATACAATTTGTATGAATTAGTATGCCTATTCTCCAAATGTGTACGAACTTAGTTGTAGCACTACGAACGAAAAACCGGGGAGGTGCTGGAGACACGTGTCTCCAGCACACCCAAAACGAACCGTTGAAATTGAAATTATGTTAATGAAATATAATAGTGATATAGTATAGTTTTTCTTTAATCAATTTATTTTATTTTATAATTTTTAACATTTGTAGAAAGCATATTATGTATGTTGTATATTCTAATAGTGTAGGTATATTAAGTATTCACATGGAACTATTGTTGCAGACTTCATTGGGGTTGAATGTTTTTTCATGTCATCAAACAACTTCCAACTGTTCCCACTTTTACAAACGGCATAGTAATGGCCAACTGCCGTCCTTTGACGTCTGAGTCCAGGTCGATAACAGCCAATACCTCTCAATTCCATTGTTTCATTTGAAAATACAATTATTTGTGGTATGTTCTCAAGTTTTATATTAAACTTAGGACTGGCCTCCGTACTGTAATTGACATCATCACTTGCAATTAAATCAAAATGTTTGAAAATTACACAGAATTCAAATATTTAATATTTTGTTTGACAAGAATAATTTCCTTCTACGAAGCCACACACCGAACTTTCTGTCATTACTCTTCCTTGTATGAAGTTGGGAAGATCACTAAAATTTCCATATGTATTATATGTTAAGTATATAATAGAAATAGTTCTATTGCTTTTACATGTTACGTTTGAAAATGCAATGTTTTCAATAATAGAAGGGAATTGGCTAAACAATGTATTAAATATTTTTGATGTTGTCGAAACACAAACTACTAATTTTAGATCGTCCAATTCTTTTAAATTTGGTTGTAGAGTGTTCATTATAATATCAGCACTTTGCGAATATATTGATGCTGTAATGCCATATTTTACTATCTTAGAGATAAAACTAAAGAAAGTAGAAGAAGCCAAAATTATATTAATTTTATTAGACTATCGCAATAAACAACCAAAAATATAGACGCAATTCTATCAAACGCACAAGTATTCGTTAATACAACTTTTCCTATTTGGTTAACAGAACAGGCCTTTAATTCTGTAGTTCATGATTCATTTTTTAATGGTAAGATCCTCACAATTTTAGATTTTTTTTAATTAATATGTCTCAAATGAGGATTTGGCTCAAGATAAGAATTATTTTTTCTTTTTTTTTTAGGTTTCTTATTCCAATTCTCACATGCCAATGATTCTCCGTTTAAATTTGTCGGTTCATTTTCGGTAGATTTTAAAAGATTTATACATAAAAAACAAATTCATCCGTCCTCATGACCTGGTTCATAATTTGAGCATAAGGATAACGCGTGAACCGAAATATTGTACTTCGTACCACGATGAGCTCCACTTTAAGAAGGAAATACACCTAAAAATAATAATTTATAATTAATTAAAATAATTTTAACTACATAATTTATAATAAAATGTCTAATTAATCTGTACTGTACAGAGGGCTTGCTAATTCATTTGAATTTACTGGTATAGTTTTAGATATATTTATCACTTCTACTGTATCTTCATTGATAGTTTTGTATAATATATTATCTGGTGATCTTGATTGTATATTTTGTATTGTATTAACCTCTACACTTGTATCAACTTCATTAAATGAATTATGTTCTTCTAGTGCTGAGCTATTATTCCTTCGAATTATTGACGTTCCTCTTAAGGACGAAATATGGTTTTCTAAAAAAACTTCGAGATTTGTCGGGAGTACAATATTAATAACACGTGCTCCCAGCACCGTTCCGGTTTTTCGTTCGTAGTGCTTCAACAAAGTTCGTACAAATGTCGGGAATAGGCATACAAATGCATACAAATTGCATACTAAATATTAAGCAAAAAAAAAAAAAATACGAATTTTGAATGTGGGGGTGCTGGGGACATATACATATTTTAACCGCAACTTTAAGGTCGCGTTCTCACCAAAAGCAACTCTCAACAGCAACGCAATAGCTACTAAATTAATATTTAAATTGAGTTGCCTTTATGTTTTTATCAAAAAAAAAACTGGTTAGGTTAGATTATTAGTTTTATGAGTATGAAAAATATAAATATTTGAAAATTCTCATAATTCACTTAAAAATAAAATATCGTAAAAAACCAACGAGAGAACACAGATTGTAAGATGTTCTTACCTAAAAGTTTGATAATAGGTTAATTCACTCTAATATCAAAACTAAAAACACACTATTCAAACTGGTGAACGAATATTTACTATGTCGTACGTGTGTAAGACGAAGACAACACATGCAGGTGCGACGTCCTCTTAATAATTAAATTAGAACATATACAGATTTGTTTTTACGTGTAGGTACTGACATATAAAACAAACAAAATATGTATATATTTTGAACATCTAGTAATACATTTTAACTAACTGGATAAGAGAAAAAAATAGTACAATGGCTTTGATCATTTAAACTAGATATTTAATTATCAGATTAATTGTCCCAAATCACTGTCTCAAATACCTTTTAATGTCTCTATAGTGTTAATACTCGTGTAACTAAAACAAAAACTTATCCAAAAAAATTGCATTATTTTTGCTTCGATTAATAAAATGCTAACTACAAATAATTCATTAAAACATTTAAGTTTTTCGACGATAGTCCAACCAAGTGAAAATCTACATTCTTATTATAAATAATTAACTCTATTATGTAATTGATAAATATTTACTCATATTGTCTGTATAATAATTTAGTTATTAAGTCATTGTTATTTTCTTTATTGAGCCTATTTTAAGTGCGTACATTATCAATAAATAAATAAATACCCTGGTCCACTGTTTTATCTTTTCCACAACTCCGCATTAGTAATTATCTTTCAATTCATTTTTCTTCTTTCTTCACTTAATTTTTTTCATATTTGCACATTTCTAAAGCCATATTATGTGATTCTTTCTCATTCTCTTCACTAGCCTGTATTATCTCATCCCTATAACACATTCATATCCAAACTTTTGTCCCAAGGTTACCCTTCTTTCAAAGTAATTCTTCTGAATTCTCGTTATTTTTCTATCATATTATTCATAACTAATTTCATATTTAGTGTTCATTTTGCATTTTAATAATATTCATATATACCAATATATAACTCGACATTTTACATTTAAGTTTTTTTTGAGGTATATACCCGTACAACTAAATATTTATTATAAATGCAATAACTATTTTAAATTAATAATAGATAATAATATAATCAAAATATATCAGTCATCAAAAATGAATAACTAAAATATCTTCCCAACAACTGATTCGCGCTTAAACTTGTTTTTGCTATACCTATATGTCCGACATTTATAAGACAAAAATATAAAATAGGTGTTTGTGGAGGGGGGTCCATTAATTCTTGGTTCATTAGTATATTTTTAATGTAACCTTGACGAATCATTTATAATAATATACATGAATTCCACTTCTTGCCCATAAATAATAACTAGTATTATTAAGGTGGGACTTTACAGTTGAAGCGTATGCATATAATTTTACGTTTACTTTATAAAGTTCTTAGAATGGCTGTAGTACATTAGTATGTAAAATTTATAAATGCAGGATATGAAGTTATAACACTGCAATGTATAGTTACTTTTTTAAATAAAACTAACATTTTAATATTCTTAGTTAAAATCGTAAACATTACAATAATTTTTATTGTTTCATTTAAAATGAGAAATATTGAAATCCTGCAGTATTGGTTATATGTGTTATGTTTTATGAATTCAGGGTATTATGCGCAACTTCTAGACTTATATGAAGGTAAATTTACTATTTGTATTTGTATTTAATTCAATATTATAAGGACAACAGAATATAATTTAAACAACAACCATGATTCTTTAAGTGAACAAAATTTTCAAAAACAATTGGTAGGTAAATGATATTGTAAAATGAAAAAACAACACAGATATATGCATCAAAACTAAAAAAATATTTTTTTTATGAATAATAATCATGTATTTATTTCTATGTAGGAGAAATTTGTTACAAAAGTAATGACGATTCTAATAATCACATATGTCGGCGAATTGAGGACTGTGCGATTGTAAATGAAGGAATAAAACAAAATACTATAAATCCTCAAATATGTTCATTTGACAAATCAACTGTCATAGTTTGTTGTCCACCTACGAACAAGATTATTACCACTACTATAGCTTCACCTAGTACTACCAATATTTTTAATAGTCCTACAGAAATAACTCAGCCTTCTACAACTGGAAAATCGCATAAGGCGAATGAAAGTATGTTAAATCTATTCAATAATATTAATTTATAAAAAAAAATATTTCTAACTGTATAATTAGCTATTATTGTTACATTTTTTTACTTAACAAAGTGTGCCAACAGTACTCTGATTTAATTTATACTTCTATAAAGGATCCGATATTATTATCTGGTTCGAGTCAGAATATCAAAATAAAAAACTGCATAGATGTTTTAACTTTGATTGTAAATGGTACAAAAGCTGTACCAAAGGAATTTCCACACATGGTAACTGTCAGCACAATGCATAATAATAATCTGTATTTATATTTAATCCTTACAGGTCCTGATAGGATATAATAAAGAAAAACCCGATAACAGATCATGGTTTTGTGGAGGTTCGCTGATCAGTGATACATGGATATTAACTGCAGCGCACTGTGAAAAAATCAGTAATGTGTAAGTAGGAAATTTAATTAATAAAATATTTAAATGTTATGAAATTACAAGTTATTAAATGTTATTAAACAAAAATATATTTTTCAAGTCCTGCAAGCTGGGCTCGCCTAGGTGAACTTAACTACCTCACATACAACGATGGTACCATACATCAAGACTATAGAATACTTCAACGTATAATACATCCAAGTTATCAACCATCTCGTGCAAAATACAATGATATAGCTCTGTTTCGATTAGAAAAAAAAGTAAAGTTCACAGAATATGTAAGACCTATTTGTATCAATACGAATCATTTTTTAAAAACTTCATCAATAATAGCTACTGGTTGGGGACAAACTGCAAATGGTAAGTTTTTATATTTAATATAAATTTAATTAAATATATTCATAAATATATAAATATTAATTTGAATAAAAATATTTAGGTGAAGCATTTAGTCCGGATTTATTAAAAGTAATTTTAAATACTGTTCCTGCAAAAATATGCAATAAAACTTATCCTAAGAGTATTACTTCTAAATTACCAAATGGTATAGATGATGATAGTATGATATGTGCAGGATCAAATGAAGGAAAAGACACTTGTGGAGTAAGAATTTTGTAGTTCTTTCTGATAACAATTGTATTTATTTTTTAACACTTTAGGGTGATTCTGGTGGTCCTGTACAAATAAAACATATGAATTACACATGTATGTATTTACAAATAGGAATAACATCATTTGGAAGAAGTTGTGCTGAGAAGAATTCACCCGCTGTTTACACAAAAGTATCAAAATATATACAATGGATTGAAAATATTGTGTGGCCAACAATGTAATATAGCTAAGTATGTTATTACTATAGCTTATATGTTGATAAATATTTATTAAATACAAGTAAATCAATCCAAAACTTCTGGGAAATTGGTTTTTACAAAAAAAAACATACACTTTTTTTAATTGCATCTGCATCATAGATAAATTATTCTGGTTTACTATATCCTTTTTTTTCTCTATTTTTATGCCATACAAAACAATTAAGTTATACATAGAAATATTTAAATAGTTTTTATAAACCTGTTTGGTCCATCTATAGATTAAATATACGTATGTATGTATATTTAATCTATGGTCCATCCTACTTTATAAATCTGATGAGAATGACTAATAATAAACTATTTATTGACGTTCATATATTATATAATTGATTTTTTTTCAATATTCATGAATATTTAAATATATATCTATGGAGTCATTGGAACACATTGTAATGTTTTATTTCTTATGAAGTTAAAGTAATATAATAATGTATCAGAGGTGTACATTTCAATAAAAAACAAAATATATAAATCTGTTTTGTATTTTATGTTATGACGTTCTATGGATACTAATAAATAATATTATTTAACTTGTATTTATTACATATTTTTCGATATAATTTGTATACAATTATTATATAATATTATTTAGTTTTAAAGATGAGGCAGATTATTCAATTGAAGATAATAATAATAATTATAATATATTTCCAACAAGAGTTAAAAAAAAAAATTATTCATTGTACATGTTGACATATATTCGATATTTCCTTCAGAAATAAGAAAATAATATATTATTATTATGAGCTCTAAGAAACCATAAATTTTACATTGTGTTATCTATTATTTACCACTATGAGCCATAGCAACGATTTACAATAACATTTATACCTTTTATATGTATATGATATATTATCTAAAATATGGCAACCTTGACCTAAAATCATTACAGCTACCAATAATGCCCTAGGACAATAACATTTGGTATCTATCCTTCGGTAATATTTATACATTATTTTTTTTAAAGCTCCAAATACATGATTTATTTGCCTACAATGTTTTACAACACTTAATGTTATGTTTTATTTATGAGCAATTTTTTTTTTAAAAATGTTCATGATTGTGTAAGTATTGTTGACCCATTGTCCTTTGTATTCTGTTAGCTCAGCTATTTTGATGAAGTTTCTTATTATTTTTTTCTTGCCCTGTGTCAAATGCTTCTTTGGATGAGAAGGTGTTTATATTTGATTTTCTTGTTTTGATTGGCTTTCTGATTAGTGAAGAATTTTAAAAATATGTAAAATAATTTAATAAAAAAAATGTAAAATAAAAAACAAATACCATAATATACAGAATAGAACCACAAAAGTTTTTAATTTTGTACTACATTCTTAACATTTGGTATTGCACAAAGTGTGTCGTATTGCACACAATTTTAGTCCCTGGTTGATGGTTTAATTAGTTTAAGTTTATTGTTTTTGTTAGTTTGTTTTTTTTCTATTTTGCCTCAGATAATGACAGAAATTATAAAATTACATTTGATTTTGGGGCATGAATTATATCTTCGTATGTTTTGCGAATCTTGTGACAATTATATTTTGGATGCTTCTATTTGTGTATATGTTGGCTATTTAGGTAACTGCGTTCGAAGAGTCACTTAAGATGATGACTTTATGGTGGTCACTGAAGAATGGAATGGATATAGCTTCGAGTTTAGCGAAGGTTTCTGCAGTATATATGATGGTGTAAGGGTTTTATGAAGACTATTTGGTGTGTGTGATGGCAAAGTTGCACTGTGGTCTTGAATCTAATTTGGACAGAAAAAATTATTTTATTACAATAATAACATTAAAATAAGGCCCAAGATGCTGAGAAAAATATTTTTTAAAAAATCTCATGGCAATTTACACCTGTCGAATGGTAATATATTCATTTTTAATTCTACAAATTAAATATTTCGTAAAATATATGATATAATATAGGACTTAAATTTAAATGTCGTAATTTTCTTCATCCAAACATTATTATAGAATTTTAATTATAATTTAATTTCATTATCCAACTCAATTTTAGTGATTGTTTAGTGATGTTGTGTATCGAGGAAATGACCGAAATGAATAGAAGAATCTAGTATAAGATACAGAACATCTTCATTTTGAGCTACTCTTATTTATCATAAATGATGTTAACGATATTTTTTATAACCATTGTTTCTAGCCTCTGTGCTTCTTTGGAAAGTTGACCTAAAAAAAAATATTAAAATTTACTGCTAATATCACAACAAAATTGATATATTATTTCAAAATTATACATGCTGATTTTTATTTTTGGTATCGTAGATGAAATGATAAAAAGTCAAGCAATAGTATCATTTAAATGTCTTGTATGTTAATTTATAAGATGTTTCCTTCCTATCAATTATTTTGTCCTTCCAAAATATGTCCGTAAGGGGAATAAATATTCACGTTTTTTTCTAACGAAAAGTCGGATATTAATATATTGCCGTTTTGTCAAATCGTTGTCCGGATAAAAGCTAGTTTTTCGTAATTTGCAAATGGAACGTTTTCATCGAATAAATTAGTTTCGTATACTTTTTTAATTATCAATCAACTACTTAGGTAATTTAATAGACTCTTTTAATAAATTATTAACGCTTTTATTTCCAGGCAAATAAAGTTAGTGTAACTAGTATAATTTTTGAAGAAGAAAATGTCTTTGTTAATGTTTTAATTTTATTCCGTTTAAATCTTTCACAACTATTTCAGAAGTTTATTATGGGTCTTCCTATAATTTTTTTTTCCTAATATTGGTAATTTTAGTTCAGATATAAGCCACTCTCTATTAGTTTATTTAAATCTTATATGGGTTTGCGAACTTGTAACCAAAAGTCTTTGTACCTTTAAAACTAAAGTAAACTTTAAAATTATTTGTTCGGCTAATGTTGTGTATTGTGGTTCTCAGTAGCGTGGCAAGCATATTTCAGACCCTTAGTAAAGTATTTAAACAAGAACCTACCCCTCCCCCTCTCTTTGCTAAATTATATATATGTATATAAATTATATATTAATATAATATATAATTATAATTATATATTCAATTTTACTATCTATAGGATTTTTCTTAATTACTTTCAAATACCTAACCTATCTACCATATCATAATAAGATATATATTAAGTGCATATTGAATTATTTTTCAATGCATGCAATTAGTCAATTAATTTTATTATTTAAATAAAATATGTTCATAAATATATGAGCCAAGGGATACCCAGCCCCTTGATAGGTTTCTAGGGCTTAGCTATTGCATTAGGCAAACTTCGTTCACGCCACTGGTGGTTCCCATGGCTGGTGGTTCCCATGGTCGAGCTTTTAAAATTTCAAATAGGTAACTTCTTGATTTTTGGGATATTTATTTTTTTGTAATTTATATAAATCGTCATAAGAATAATAATGTAAATAAGAATTATTGCAATTCAAATTGTCATCAATTTCCAAGTCAATTATACTGAAATTATTGAAACTATAACAAAAAAAATTAAAAAACAAACACAAATGGATGCAAATCAAATTTTGGCATCGTATAGAGTAGAATATGTGCAATAGTAACTATATATTAGTTAACGATTATTTTTGGTTGTTTTTTTAATTAATCAATTTGAAATATAAGTATTCTAAGTATTCAATATTGTATACTATGTTTCTATGTTTTATGCCTAATATCATGAAAATATATATAATAGATATTGAACACTTATTTTAGTTTTTGAAATCCATTTTCCAGACAAAAATAAGTAAAGTTTTAAAATATAAATAAATAATTCAATGAACTTGAACGATAAAGTAAAAATAACAATTAAAATAATTTTCAGTTTCTAATCAGCCGTTTTGACTAAAATAAATAACACACTCAATATTATGTAAAGTAATATATTTTTATTACGTAGGACATAAGTTTTAATAATAAAATATTAATTTCAATATACTTTAAAAATGTATTATTTTCCACGTATTTTGGATGTCAGGCCATTGTGAGCCAGTTTCATTTGTTTTAGAAGCGTCTGTATAGAAGTGATAGTTTTTAAATTCGTTATTTATTATACGTACATTATTGTAGGCATGTAACACATTATTTACATCATTTCATATTTAATATTATTTAACAAGAATAACAAGCTGCCCACGTACTTTTTTTTGGCTGACCGGTGGTACATTTTCAAATTGCTTCATAACATTTTAACGTTTATCAATGTTTCATTTTCTATATTCATCGTAAAATATAGATATTATATTCTTATCCGATATTGAACTGCATCTAAATTATTAAATGTTTAAATATAATAAATATCCATATCGGCATAGCTAATGTACCTATAGATACTATTTTTTATTAGATACTTTTTATTGTATTGGTTCAGTTGTAAAATTTAATTACATAAAATAAATGCTTATTGTTAATTTCTATAATGAACTTTTTTTTTTTTTTGCATTCTTTACTATGGCCTATCAGATTTTAAAGTTCTATAAATTGAACCTCTAGTTACTTTGAGTGCCCATCTCTAATATTTTGATAAGTATTTGATATTTGTATGAAGCCGTGTCTAGGCTAGACGACCAAGGCAACCAAACGCCAACGTAACAACATTCGGCGTTGGCTGTGCTTATATGTGAGAACATTGGCATAGGTACTGTCCAAATTCATTCCCAATTCGTTGTTAGTTGGAAGCCTTCGCTGGTTTAAGCTACGAACGTACATAATTCATTTTATATATCCGTTCGGACCAAATTTTGACAAAGACTAAAATATCAACAAATCGCGTCCAAACCGATAACGAATTCCTTTGATGTACCACTAAGACCAACATCGCCTAATAAGGTCGTCACATGTGCTTTCAGTACCCTTAGTCGTCTAGTCTGGACGTGGTTTGATAGCAATTTAATAGGTATATAGATATTTCAGTACGAAGGAATAAAAGGTTTAAAAGGAAAATTAATACTTATCAAAAATTAAACATCGAATTTTTCTTTCATCATTCATTGTCATAACACCTTTAAATTCATAATACTTTGGATGCCTTAGGGCACTTGCCCTATTTGACTCATTTGCTCTATTTGTCTCCCCTTTTGGGATTGCTATGCCTTGACACTAGCCCAACTCATTGTTAACGTTATAACATATGGTGAAAATACGTATTAAGGCTGACTATCTCTAACAATGCACTAAACACATTTTGTAGAGACAACAGCTAATAAATACATCTGTCCTAGTTTTAGGAATACTTATCCCGGCAGTCGACGGTATATTTGCCTATATATGATATCTAATGCTATATTTGGGTGAGGTAGATTCTTAATAATAATATTCGACTATTAATGGAGCAGTTTTAATTCGTACTTAATCTTAAACTGTAAACCGTAAAAAAGTTTGTACAACAGTCCATGACTTATGGACACAATAAATAATTATTTAATTATTTATCAAATGATATATAGATCCTATATCATAAATCATTATGCGAACAGGCATAAAGCATTAATATTGTTTAAGTACACAGATATACAGAAGTTAAAGATATATAATAATAAGATTGAATACATATAATATATAATAACAAGTATAATTGTCACGATACAAAAATATTGTTACGAGGCATAATATAAATAGGCGTGTATATAAGGGTGGCATGGGAGCGATGTTCCCCCCAAATTTCAAGATACAAAACAAAAAAAAAATTATAAAATGTCAAGCAATGATAAAAATTATATTTTTTCTATAGCAACTATATATTGATATGTTTTAAAAAACCAAAAGAAAAGTAAATTTCGCTCAATAATTTTTAATTTAATTTCATATTTTGTTTTATTGTACTTAAATAAAAAGTTTTCTTTTCAATGTACATAACTATTTTTTTTAAACTTTTAGTTAAAAGTGTATTTCTTTACAGTGTTAAGAAATATTTATGGTAAACGGTAATACTTATAATATTATAGAATTATTGAATTTTATATATTATATTATGTCTACAATATAAAATAGCCTCCCTCCTAATAATTACTCTGGATCCGCGCCTGAATATAAACCAACGACTAATCGTTCCATGATTCTCTAAATTAAACAAACATGTTAATTAATATAAAAATTGTCTATTCAACATCTGTTGTACTACAGTGTGATTAGTTAACTTATAATTTACATAATACAAGGTATTTTTTTTTTATAATTTCGATAAATATGTTTTGATATGATCCATCGAGAACTAATTTAAGAACTGGAAAATGGAATCACTGAAAAATATACCGTTATAACCCGTTTCAACGAACCAAAGAGGTATAGAATGTTCGATATATAAAATGTAACTGTACATTATGACTACTATCCTCTATCATATATTCTAAAATAATTCTAAAGCATAAAACGGTACTAGTTATTCCTTTATGGTCTAAGAAGAAATATGCAGCAAGGCACTACGCATAACGCTGCACAATCTAGTAATGAAGAAGCCAGTGCATCATGTGAATCCACCGGATAGAAGCTAATTAGTGTCCTGACGAATGAAGACTTATACATTTAAGACGTGTAGCTATGTGGGTATCATATACAGTAGGCCAGTAGTGTACACTAAAAAGACATTAAAGTGTCTAAATTACCTAAATAAAGAAGATTATTTTAAACCATATAAAACATCATTAATAATTAATTTTTTTATTTATAGAAAAATAACCATTTTAAAAATTAAACTTTTTAAAATTATCTGTTTTTTTTATCAAGATAAATGTAGTTATATTTTATCTATTATCTAGATAAATATTTAAATAGTTATTTATTATCTTATCTAGATAATTTTTTCGGGTTTGGTAAATTGTGTCTCATTTCATTAATCTTAGGTAAACTGAATCCCGCCTAAAAAAAAAAAAAAAGGTAAATTTGAGTCCCTCATATAAAAATGAAATCGGTAAATTGAGTCCCTCGTATAAAAATTAAATCGGTAAATTGAGTCCCTTGTACAAAAATTAAAGCGGTAATTTGAAATAATGGTGAAATGCTGTTTTTTTTCTTATTTAACATACTCTTAATTATATTAACACAATTGTATACTACGTACATTAAACTTACATTTATCAGTTATCACATCACATCCAGCGTTGTTGTAAATAGTTAGGTACTTATATAAATGTTGCGTAATAATACGGAGCAAAATATAATAATATTTAATGATGGAACAATAGTAATAATAATATTTATTGCATTTTAAAAAATGTTGTATATTAGAATTTAAATAAATTATACAAATGAAAAATGATTGTCTCCGAAAGCCTAGACTTGTGAAGGATATCATGTATATCAGTATTTGAACGAAATGGTTTCTTAAAAGCTATTTTTAATAATGCATTTATCGTAGTTCTTAGCAAACCTAATATTTTTCAAAGGTACCACCCCATACACTAATTCCGTAAATATAGACCAGTGGTTCTTAACCGGTGTTCCGTGGACTTGGTATAAGTGTTCCGCCAAAATTTTAAAATCGGTGAAAAAAAATGTTTAGTTCCATTATCTTAATATTTTGACTTTTATGGACTTCCAAAACACAAAAGTATAAGACGTGTATTACAATAACTATACTGTCGGCGCGGCAAGTGCCCAACAATAATAGAGGGCTGACTTGTTCGCCTTAATAATTATTGAAGGACTGGTATTAAAAATAAGTATAATTAAAACAAATAAATAAAGATTGGTGTGAATAAGTGGACTGTGTAATGTAAATAATGAAAAAAGGTAATATAAATATAACTAATGACAATTAATAATTTTCTGATAATAATGTATAAATGCAAATTAAACAAATAGTAACTAACTGAACTAAATAAATGAAATGTGTGGACCACACGGCACACACCAAATAAATAATATAAATATAAACGATGAAAAATAATATAAATAAATACAATAAATAATTCAATAATTGGCCCAACACGGCGCGCAAATAATAATTCAATTTATAATAATTTGCCTATGACGGCACACCACAGTGTATGAATAAATATATAATACAATGATATCAATAATGTGGTAAATGCCTATGTCGGCCAATGCACAATGATACAATATAAATAATAAATAACGTGCCTACGACGGCTAGGCCCGTCGGCCTTTAAACACAAATGAACAAATATGGTCGACCAATACTCACTTGTGACTATGTTGAAATGGCTGATTCCATCCACGCGACCGCACCAACCCTGTGATTAAACAATTGCCTATGACGGCACACCGCAGTGTATCAATAAAAAATAAATCACAGAATTGGTACGTGCGACCACTCAAGCACAGTCACCAACGAAAACACTGCAACGGTCCACAGCCCTGGACGATGACACAATGAATGAAAACCACGTTATTCACAAAACGAAAATGACACTACACAAAAAACGTGGTTTTAATGAAAATGGCTGCGGACGTACGGACTTGACAAAAATGAAATTAGATGTGCACACCACGAAGACACAAAAACGAGAGCGAGATGGGTCCGACGACATTCACCACGAAGGCTAAGGCCGCCGGACACCACAATGAAGATAAAATGCCCCAGTGCCACCACACAAAATAGAAAAACACTCGAAATCAATGAACTTTGTGGCACTGAGAGCATGATTTGAAACTTTTACAAAACATAACCGACAATTTTTTGAAAACGTGGAATAACAATCATTAACGTGCGACGATAACAGCGCGAACATTCTCCCCCCCTGGAAAGATCTACTACTTTCCAGAGCATACAATGGGCAATGAATTTAAAAGGTTACATACAAAACTATTCAACAAAATTAAGAAAACTAGCATGAATGACTATGCGAAGCGAGACACAACAATTTAACAAACAAACTAAAAATATATATATATATGAATAAACAATTAACTTTAAAGAAAACTATGATTCGAACGAGACCATTATTGTGTATCTTCGATGTCTTCTTCCTGAGGGTTGGGTAGACGAGCTAGCTTGGACACAGGCCTAAGATATTCCGCACCAGCAGCGTTGCGAACAGTAACTACGCGAATAACACCATCGGCACCCGGACTAACTTTGGTAACCCGAACAAGTTGCCATTGAGTTGGTGGAACATTGTCGCACTTTAATATCGCCAGGTCTCCTATCGCCAGATCTTATATCTATTTAATTAATACAATTTTCGAACTTTTTTCATTGGATGACATACAAAGTATTCGCGTTAAAAAAAAAAAAAAAACTATAAATCGGTCCAGTAGAACTTCAGATATAACTGTCATAAAAATCGCTTCTCTTTTTAATAATATAATATAGTTATCGAACGTTATACGAAAAAGGTAATGCTCAAAAATGTTCACTGCCCAAGCGAAAAAATCTGAATGCCGTTTAAGAGGTTTCACATCTAAAATATTTAAGTAGGCCTCTGTACAAAAATAAGCCCAGGCCGAAATGTACATATGTATAAAATATACCCGGTCCACAACTAACATAAAAAAGTAAAACGGGGCATAATTTACAGCGACCCAACTGCTCTACTCTAGAAAAAACTGAAATGATACAAGTATTTTTTACACATTCTTCGGTTTTGACCGGACGGCAAAAATCTGTTCAATCACAACCAAATTAATACACGGTTTTTGTACGATTTTTGTCAGTCCCAAGCAGATCCCAATAATTTTGTGTAAGTTTAGTAGAATAATCGTGCATTTTTATAATGGTTCGCTAACAAATTATTGCACTATAATAAAAAAAATCATCGCTGCAGAAGACATCAGAAAGATCGTATTTTTTTTTAGATCAATGTTAAGAGAGAAGAAGTGGACTTTTTTAATAATCTACGAATTTACGAAAGTAAGTTTTTTAATTTTTTCCGTATAATTTGTCCCACAACTCCGGTCTGCTTTTATAATGGTAATTACATATTTTACACCGAAATCCGCAATTATTTAAAAAATATTAAGTTAAATAATCAAAGCTAATCAAAGTTTATCGTGTCTCTAAAACGACTGACTGATTTTTACCGTACGAATAAAATCGTATAATATTAAAACATTTTTAATTTAGTCACATACGCCACCCCAAGCTTATCGTACCGCCCGGCTATATCTGTAGTTGGCAGTAGACGGTTGCTACACGACAAGGCGCTGGAATTTTGCTGTGACCGTATAATATGAACGAATATGATAAGTGCGTAATATACGTATATACTAAGTTCTTTTAGTGGAGTGGACTAAAATAATATAACCGTCTTTACAGTTTTTTGCCGTCCGGTCAAAACCGTATAAAGCCACACACGCACGAAACGACAAAATATTCTATTAATATAATTGAATACGGTAATTCATACCGATCCAGCATACTCCGTAACGACACGACAGAACAAAACATTCGATAAATGAATAATTTGTCGGTCAGAATCAATTTATATCAAATATACATATTATTATGTACTCGTGTACTTGAATTAATTTATAAATTATATTTGTAAACGAACATTTTTGTACTGGTTACAAGTCTAATTATTAATGGCATAATACTTAGATACAGTCTTTATATTATATTGGACCATAAAATATACTTATAAAGAACTAGGCATGTTATGACTGTCATAATTGATGTCTTTTAACACTGTTAAAAATGTTTTATGATATTTATAAAAGAATCAAAGCAGAATAACATTTTTCTTACCCAAATAAGTACATTATTATCGAGCAATAATCTTGCATGACGAAAAAATCTTCAAAATTAAAATTTTTAAACATGTTGAAAATCAGGGTTTCCGAACGGAACGTATAAAAACGGTTAAAGAACATTATTGTTGTTCATAAACCAAAATATAATGGAACAATACCAATTATTTAATTTAGTTTATAGGTCCTTCATATGAAATATCAATATAAATTATAAAGTTCACTGACATTTTTCACGAAAAACGTTGTAATTTTAAAAGTTCTTTAAAAAATTGACATGGGAGCGTCATAATCTATTAAATTCTTTGAACAATTACTAGAAAAACCTTATAACTTATTAAGTTCTTTGAACAATTGTACCAAGAACGTTATAACTTATTAGGTTCTTTGAACAATTACACGAAGAACGTTAAAACTTATTAAGTTCTTTAAACAATTACACGAAGAACGTAATAAACTAACACGTTCTTCAAACTTTTAACACATAGAACAACACAAATTAAACCGTTTATTGGAGTATTAAAATAACGTTATGGATCAAAATTATTTTTTGACTATTTTAAATTTCAAATTATTTAAGAATAATTAGTACTTTAATATCAAAATCTGAAACTTGAATTACATCTAGTCCTATATTTACTAATAACTAAGATAAGGATTACAAATACACCCCAATAGCATAATGTGACTTTGAAAAAACTAAAGAAGCTTTAGCCAAAATAAATCCAACAACCGATCATTTATTTTTGACAATATATGATATTTTGATAAATTTTTCAGATTTTATTATTATTATTATTATAATTATTAATAAAATTAAAAACTATTGATACATATAATATATAAATATATATATTTCAACCTATCGAAAAAAAAAAATAAATACTACTCGTATAAATAAATAACAATCAATAAATACTATAAATAAATAATAACCAATAAATACTCTAAATACATAAGAATACTATAGATTAGCTTTTGTCAAATAAATAGTTTGATCGTACAACCATTATGTCTTCCAGTAAACTTGGGTTCATCCTATTTCTTTGATCATTCAATATAAATTTTAAACTGGAAAAAAGACGTTCCACTGTAACCTATTTAACAAAAATAATTAGGTTTAGGTATTATATTATAATGATTACTATATAACATTTCAAATATTTATATTTATTTGGAACTAAAATACGAGTATGATTTAAAATCAAAGATTATAAAATTTTGTAGGGCAGATCATCGTAACTCATAGTTTTTATTATATAAATAGTTGGCCATTGTTTTAGTTACTAACCTGAGTAGTTGGTAATGTTAAAGCAACCAAAGCGCATTCATACATCAATGGATACATTTTTTTAAGTTTTGTCCAAATATCCATGTTTTTGCTTTTATCTTCTCTAGGAAATTGCATAAAACTTACAATTTCCCTTTGAATGTCCAACATTACTTGGTCTTGGCTATTATTTAAACCACTACTTCGGTTAGCGGCTGCCGTACGAAGTTCAATCTCTAAGTCATCTACTTCATTGTGTTTAATATTATTATTTGAAATAGATGGTTCTTCTCTAATGACAGGATCAATTTTGTGTAATTCTGAAGACAAGAGTATCAAATGACTTTTAGCTTCTCTTAGTGAATTTTCATCTAATAAAACATTGACAAAACCATCCAAAAAAATAGCCAATTTGAAACTATCACAGTTAAATAAAGTAGTTTCTCGTCTTTGCATAGCTTCAACTATACTATTTGAAATACATTAATCTAAAAAATATAAAATACAATTAATTTATAAAATAAAATAACAACTACTTAAATTTTGTACAAATAAATAATTTCATGAAAAATTTACAATTGTACCCGGTCTCCCCTACTATACATAATGTATAGAATAACTAGATATTCTACAGAATTATAGAAAGCTGTACCTCAAGTATAGGAAAATGTATACAATTTATATATAAATAATATTTTAGTGTGCCTTACTTTGTGGGCACCTACCTTCATGAATAAACTGTAAATTTATGCCAAGTATAGTACGGCCAAGTCTAGTTGCAGTGTCCATTTTTATACAAAAAAATTTTTTTTTTTCATTTGTTCGTAATAGCTTTACGGACTAGACTTGCCCTACTACAAATATGATCGCGCACAACATCAGCGTTCATAGTAATTCCAAAAGAACGAAACATGGGAACTACTATTTTTCTAAAACCAGAGTCCTTCATTATATTTAAGGGTCTACCATTAATTGTGACCATTTCAATACAGCCGTCAATCACTGTCCGGCGTTTTATTGACAAGTTCATTGTTTTCTCCGCACTGTGCATCTACAAATGACAAAAACATTTTGTTAATATTTAACTAAAATAAGATATAATACATATAAAATTATGTAAGCATAATTTAAAAATAATGATAACTTAGTATTTTACTCTCTTTTTTTTTGTTGGTGGAAATAAATCAGATGAATTTGAAGAAATTGATGACATAGAGACGGTATTATTAGTATCAGTACTAGTTTCATCTTCCTCCAATAATATTTGTTGATATTCTACCGCATGAAAGAACTTTAAGTGACGTTTCCAATGATTACCCTTAAAGTATTAAATATGTTGATAATTGCTTGGTTATAATGTTCTATAATTAGAGCTTATATTTTACAGTTTAAATTATACAGACTACAGAGTGTATCTCATGTCAACTACAGTGGCGGCTCGTTAGTAAAATACTTGGTGGTGCACATTTATAACCTTTATATTTAATACTTTAGTAATAATTAATAATAAATTAGGTACATCAGGAAAATTGAACTTAATTATATATTTATATGTATTTATATTATATAATGAAAAATACATCATAATTATTATATTAGTTAGATAGATTTTTATTAACTAATTCTATTCTTCTTTCTTTTTCAGCAAATATATCAATAACCTTTTCATTAAAATTAGAAATATTTTTGATCATAAGTTTTTTAATTAATAACATAGACAATAATAAGTATCAATATTAAAAATGTGGACTGTCATCATTTTAATGATTATAGATCGATTATATCGAATGTTACTTAGTTTCTGAAAGAGGCCAGATTACAAATTAAAGAAATACATCTTTTTTCATTTTTTAAAAATTCATTATCATCGATCCATTATCGTTAAAAACCCCGCATAAAATGTCATAAGATACAATCTATAGATTCGTAGTGACTTAGTCCCGGTAATCGGTGTATGTAATAAAATTTTGTTTGTCAAAAACTATTGTTTTCCATCAATTTATTATCCATTGTTTTTAAAACACTTATATCCTCGAATTTAAATAATTAAATTAAATCGAGTTAGCTTACAACCGTTTTCATATATAATAATATGTAAGACCTATTAATATGTTATTTAATTTAAATTTACTGCTAATATTTTATTGCAATTTTGAATTTGGCATGTAGATTTGTTACCATTTTCACCTTTTGTGTGATATTTGAAGTACCGTTTCACTGGATTGTCACAATTCATAATTTTTGGCATGGTTATTATAGTTTATTATATAATAAATATAATATATATATTAATAATGTACATAAATTAATGAAAATATTTAATAATGTTAAATAAGATATATTAATTAATGAAAATACTTAATAATTGAATCACACACACGATTTTATTATAACAGTGTCATGTAAAAACGACATTTGGTTATTAAGTAGATTATAAAACGTAAGGAAGTACGTAAGAATCATAAAATATAAATCCAGTTTTAATGTAAACGGATTTACTGATTGTAGATTAAATATTTTGACTTTTGAAATTCCATTGCAGTTTAATATATATATATATATAAATTAATATCTTATATTATGATAGCGATAAGCCGATAGGTACCTATAGTTTCTATATATATATATAATATATAAAACGTCCAGAGAACGTAAAACAAAAATATATAAGTGGCCTAGCGTAACGTGGTGTATGGCTATAGTCACAAACGTGTTCTGGACTTCTAGCTAGTGTCACTAGTTCCCGGATGAGTGACCACACGAGTTTAAGTGTCAAATCCTAGCTACTCATACACGTTCAAGAAATAGAAACGTTATTCAAGAACATATAACTTTAAAGCATTCGAGAACATATGACAGTAAAACATTCTTCTGATAAAATGTTCAAAAACATATTAACTCGATAAGTTCTTCTGATAAAATGTTCAAGAACGTATTATTTCAAAACGTTCTTCTGATTAAACGTTCAAGAACGAATAACTTAACAACGTTTATTAGGTAAATCTTTCAAGAACTTTAAATTTTTTTACGTTTTTTTGGCGAACATTTCAAAAAACATAAACAATTTTAACGTTTTTCTAGTAAAATGTTCGGTGAACCATTTAGTTTATAACGTTAGAATCGAAAACCGTTTGTATAAATATATGTATAACCGAACATAGATTGATTTAACGTTTATCAAAAATAAAGTTCAAAAACAAATTATGGAACTGAACCAAAAATTAACGGTTAAAGTAACCCTGTTGAAAATTAACAATTTCCGACCATTGGAAGCAAAAATTGAAATAAACTGAGTGCGTTTTTGTCATTTCTTGTCGGTCGTATTGGACGTGATTCTCGTATGTTGTGTGCGAGTGTGAATCGAGCTTAATGTGAGCCTAACCCTCCCTCGCCAGATAGTTCTATCGACAACGACGTTCCCTCCATAACTGAATCTATTATAAATTTAGCTAACATAGCTATACGTAAAATCAATGACAATATAAAACATACCATTATTTCAAACTTTAATTTTGTGATTATGAATCGTATTTAAAGCTAGAACTTACTTTTATTTAATAAAAATATACTAACGCATAATATTCACAAAGTATTAATCTAATTTGCTTTAACTAGATATACAAAAAAATATTCAGCAATATTTGAGGTAGCTAAGTAGATACATTAAATCCATATTTATAGAAAATAAATATCAAATATGATGAAATGCCTTCAGCAATCCCACCGATCGCCTTACAAATTTTAAAAATCATAAATGTCTGTTATTGTACTTCAATGTTCGCATAGGTACCGTTATACCACAAATGGCATTGTGTTCATGTTTCAAGCCTAAAGTGCGGTTGAAATTTTTAATCTAAAAAATAAAATTTCAATGTGCCTCAAATATTTCACACATACTATCAATATTATTTAGGTACATAAAAAAGTGAAAAGGAAGTATTTTCCGCTCTAAGCTAAAAATTAGAAATAACTAAAACTCGTTAGACTCGTTTACTTAATTTTAACGTTTCTAGAAATTATTTGAGAAGGTTCTGGATTCATGTTCGTCGCAGGTTGGTCACGCTTGGTGATTTTGTTTGACTGGTTTGCACATCAATGCACATGATGTACCGAATACTTTTGAGTACCTATCGTGCGTCGTGTAATAATCGATAATAATTACTATCAAATAAAAATAAAAATGTAAATAGTATCTTTTAACAGGTAAAACTTAATTGAATCAGTTTAAAATCGTAAGTATATCAAAGTATAATCAAATCGTTGTCGGAAAACAAGTATATATTTATTTTATTACTTTTGCTTTCGTATTAATTAAATATACATATATTATTCATACTTCTTAGAAAATTGAATTTTAATTATTATCAGTAAGTACCTTAGCTAGTCAATCCTCAGGTACCTTTCGATTGATATTGTTTTTATCGGTTTTAACGAATTATTCTCGATTTATACATACATTTATTCTCACTGCGTAATTATTTCTTAGTCAATAAGCATCAGTTGATACTAGGTACTTACCTGACGTGATTGTTCTTGAAAATTGCTTTCCTAATATCACGTACATTATAATTATATTTTTATTCGTTATTTTGGGAGTTAGTATTTTTTTTTTTTTTATTATTACTGTTTACTTACAGCAAATAAGCGTAATCATATCACAAGATATATGAAAAAATAAAAATCAACTAATAAATGATTCATCATTGTTACCAGCTATTGTCGACAGTATTGTGCACTCAGGAATTGACGTTTTTTCAATTTACCCAACTATCTAAATATCGGAGATCAATTATGCAAGAAAAGGATTTAGGTATTTACATTAAATATTTAGTTATTATTTTAGTTATAACAATTATCATTTTATTACCAACCGTATAAATACATATGAATAATGACATTTTATATTGTTATATTTTATTGTATTGATATATTTCAGTTTTTAGTCATTTTACAGTGGTTAAATTATATGTACTTATTAGCTATAAGGACTTATTATAAACTAATATATCAAGTGTTGCATTTCCATTACATCGGCTTTTATATTTTAATTATATTATTTGAGATATTTATCTATCGGTTAAATGTAATCTATTCTTTCGGTATGTTTTTGTAAAATCAAAGTTCATATTATACAATTGTATCACTAAAACTAGGTGGGCTCCGTTTGTATGTATAGTATAATCTAATATTAGTTCAAGTAGAATATATATATATATATATATATATTATATACTACATACGTATGTTAATTTTAGTACGACCGATAATTTATAAACAAATGGGAGTAGTGCACCTAATATAAAAAAGGTAGTTTTTATTATTTTGTATCATGGTTTATATTTGCTTACACATTTTATTTAAACACGGTCGATCATTATTTTATCAGTATTGCTCACCCACCATACATTTTTAGGTTAACAATTGATCATAAATACAATTTGTATTAAATCAGAAAAAATGACTAGAAAGCGATTAAAAGGTAAGTATATAAGCTCTATCAATAATTATATCTATCAAAGAAAATAAAAGATACTCATTTTTCCATAGTTGGTGATAAATGATAGTAAAAGATTTAGGTTTTGATATACAGAGTGATTATTTTAATGTAAATTAATTAAGTAATTTTAAAAACATCGAAATTCAACTTTAAATTAATCAAAATTTATCGTAATATATTCATCCATTTAATTCAGCATAATTTATCTTAACAATATACAATGTAATAATTTTGAATTATCACTTGAAAATAAGAATGTGATTGTATTAAAGTATGTTAATTACGAAGTACGAAGTATAACATAATGCTATTTATGATAATGAAGTTCAATATTGATATTATTTAATTCCTGTATATTATAATTTGTTAATTCGTAAATAAAAATTATACATATATTTGTTTGGAAATTTTTCCGTATTAATCACTCTGTATAAGTTTATGATGATGGTCGGAGGGTGAGACATGTCTTATCATAACTTGTCTTGCGCTGTTGAGTGTTCTTTGCCAATATATCCATGACAACGACATCAAATTGCCTGTTGCTTGATTTTGTAGATAGGCATTTGATCAATAATCATACTTCCATCAATCCATCAATAGAAATTTAAATTCATCGCTCTCATAATAAATTAAGTGTTTGTATCAATTTTTAGGTTTTCACATACTTAAGTAAATTGTAATACATTTTAACTTTAAATGCTTGTTCTATATTTTAATTGAGTTATTTTCTTTTAGTTACTCCAGAGTTGGAGAACAACTGTAAAATTGAAGAAGCGCCGAAATTGAATAATATGACTGAACAAAATCATGCACAACATCAAAGTAGCAGCTCTATCGCTTCATATTCTTTGTTATATACAATATCCCAGGTAATTATTTATAATAAATTAAATATAAATTGTTTATTTGATAATTTTGTATTCAAATTTTAGATAATTGGAATAACACTTATAATATTTGTGTTTTACTGGATCTTTGAGTTTCGAGGTGGATTTGGTTTTAGTGAACCTAAAATTATATTCAACTGGCACCCACTGTTTATGACCATTGGTTTTATTTATTTATTTGCAAATTGTAAGATTTACTTATAAATCTAGTATATAAATTAGATAAAAACTATGTTTATTTAATTATTTAAACTGTTTTTAAAACATTTAATCTAAAAATCTATTGTTGAAAAGTTGATAATTGGAGCATTTTTGGAGGAGAAAATTATTGATTAAACGATGTGGAATTTTGATTTGGTTGACTCAACTGAAGAGGAAGAAGTATGACTTATGGTAGAAATAATGAAAAAAAAGAAAATGGTAAGCCCTAATAGATTACCGCTAGTAGAGGTATAGGAAGTGTTAAGAAATGTAGAAGTAGGGTAGTTGATAAATTTCTTGAACAAACAGTTAGTGGAGACTAGGAGAATTCTAGTACTTATATATCAATTTTGAGGTGATGCTTAAAAGTATGGCATTTATTGTGGTTTCAAGCTTTAAATGTAAATAGAAAAAAGGATAAGAAGTAATACTGACATCAAAGAATCATTTTGTGTTTATGCTATAAAAATCAATTACAGGACTGTTTAATATTTTGTTTGGGGCAGCTTATGAAAATTAATAGAGAACTGTATAATATTTAAATATATATAAAAAAAGGTGTATGATAGAATCCTAATTAAGATTATAAAGTGAATAATTGAGAACATGTATCCAGAGGCAAGAATGAGATTAATTGGCGTGTTTTTGGAGTAACATTGCATGAATGTCCCGAAGTTAATGTAAGACTGAGTGAATGACTACCCTGGGTTTTTAATGTACACTTTTGTCATATTTAAATGTGTAATTAAATTTATATATTATAATTATAATTTATATTACATTTAAAAATTTACTTTATAAAAATAATTTACAAAATTAGTTTTTTATTAATTGTTTTTATGTAATTTAATATTTGTTTATTACTAAATTATTTAGTTTTTGTAAATATTTTTAATGACGAAATAATTATTTAAACTATTAAATGTTTTTAATAATATTTTAAAATATATTTAATTTTAGCGATACTTCATTATCGTACATTCCGTAATCAAAGAAAAAGTGATTTGAAAAATCAACATGCAATTATTCATGGATGTGTATTAATTTTTGTGTTACTTGCTGGATGGGCTTCTTTTGCTTCACATATTTATAGTATTCCTTCTATTCCAAATTTATATAGCTTACACAGCTGGTTAGGTGTATTAACTATTTCAATGTTCTTGTCCCAGGTTAGTGGAATATTTATTAATTTATAAGTATAGTATACGAGTAAAAATTTATACATAAATTTGTATAAATTTGCTTTATTTTTGAACATTTAATTATATTATGTATAACCATTGATTATATATATTATATAGTATATAGACTATATATAAATAATGGTATAACATTTATACTATAAGTGATTTATTTTAGTTTATTAGTGGATTTGTATCATTTTTGTATCCTGGAGTAGCTGTTCAATATAAAGAAGCTATTATGCCTTATCATTTTTTCTTTGGAGTTCTCACTTTTGTTTTAGCCATTGCTACATCAGTACTTGGATTTGGTGAAAAATTAATTTTTTCTTTGTACGTATTTAATCAACAATTTTAACAATATAAATTATTATTTATAAATTGTTATTTTTTTTTTCATAGGGATAAAGAATATAAAAATTTTCCAAATGAAGGATTGTTTGGTAATTTCATAGGTGTACTGTGTTGTGTATATTGTGGATTAATTGTGTATATGGTCACTAAACCAGAATATAAGAGACTGCCTAAACCTGAAGATAGTGTGCTACTTACTGGAAATTTAGATTAAATTTAATTAAAATTAACTATTATTTACTGTAGTTATTTTAGTGAAAATATACTTCTTTCCTCGAAGTTTATAATAACAATAATAATAAAGTGAAACTTTTAAAGCAAACCCTAAAGGCTTGAATAAGCTGTAAATCTCTCTATAATGGAAATATTATCTAGTCTTATTACAGATAATATCACGAATATTACATTTGATAAGTTGTAAATCTGTCTAAAATGGAATATTTATGAAGTCCTACACAATTCCATCATAGGCAGTTTTTACAGTAAATTAATTTTCAATGTTTGTATTAAAATATTTATATTTACATAAATTGCTTTTTAATAATATTTTTAATAATTTTTATCTTGATATATATTAAATATTTTTGTTTATTACTAAATATGTTTCAAAATACTAAATTTCATTATTATTTTTTTATATTTACTTTTTACTTATTTATTTATTTATTGAAATAATATACGGGTTAAGACCCAATTACATGAAGTTGTATTACTTAAGTATTATATATTTGAAATTAAAATGTTTGTATTATTATTTAAAAATGTTTTCCCTTGGGATATTTTTTATAACATTGCAGTCAGTGATTGATAATGAATTAAGATAATAGTAAGTAATATAATACATTATTTTAAATCTAAGACTACTAATTTCTTGTATGAATAGAAATACAAATTATATACCTTCCTTCATACTTAAAAAAAAAAAAAAAATCTTTTTCTAAATTCATAAAATTATTGATTTTTAATATATATAACCCGCTCCCATAAATCCACCACTAATATTTTTTATATTTAGTTTTGAATCAATCAAAAATAAAATATGACACTATTAAATATTTTTGAGGCTTTTTTTGATATTTTGGGATAATTATAGTGCATAAGCATGTCTTATGATATTATGGTCTATGTGGATTAGTAAGTAATAAGTAACAATATATATTACATTTATAATAGCACAAAGAACAGTATATTTCAGAAATAGATAATGTATTACACTAGTGTAACATGACCGAGGTAGTCCAGTTAGATATTAGATATCCAGGGAGGATGATTATGTCCTTTAGATATATTTACCATAACCATAAGCAGATATATATCAACATCTTAAAGAAGAAACTTCAATTGTTAGTTATATAATCGTATGTATTAATAATTAGTATATATTCACAAATTACTATTGTCTTATAGCTACTCGGAGTTTATCGTTTGGGTTTTCATTGATAATTTCCATGTACCTATTACAATTAGCTATACAAGACAGTCTCCTGGTATTATACCAACAACTGCTGTTACAATATTATTGATTTTTATATTTAATATATCATGTTAAACTAGTAATTACAATATACTAGGTACCAATATTATGAACTAAAATATCTAACAATAGAGTATGACCATAAATAATCATATTTTTGTACACTAATAAACCATAAAAACCTTTAATTCTGATATTTTATACTAATTACCTGATTATATTATAATTAACTTAAATGGCTGTATGTAAGTAGGTAATAATATTTCAATAAAAAAAAAATCATATACCTAACTATATAGTAACTAAAATATACAAAAATATCAATAAGCTGTTTTTATTTTCACTAGAAACATTATACATAAATTAATTAACTACAACTAATACATAAATTGTATTATTTTTACATCAAAATATAAACAGTATAGATATTTTATAATGTACAGTAAGAACAAATTTATTGCACAAGGTACTTGAATATTTAAAGAAAATTAACGATTACTAAATTTATATAATTAAAAAATTCCTGATGTAACTTATTAAGAACCTACTATGTTAGTTTAAAATTCTAAATTATATGATAGGCATGCTTATTGAATATTTATATTAAACTAGATACCTATATTGTTTTCTATAACTAACGATTCTTATAGTGAAATATATTTTTAAAAAATCTTTGTATCTAACTGAAAAAGATAAATATTTTTAAGTATTTATAATAATTGACAAATTGTACAAATGTTCGTTTAAGCTATTGAATATTGATGCATATTTACAATATAGCTATTTTGTATAGTTTTGTTAGGAATTAATATACATGCATCATATACAGTGTCAATTTAGTGCAAAATCTTGGTGGGTTCCATAAAGTTTATAGTAAACTTCAAGTTAGATTTAATAGTAAACATTTAAGTTTAAACTTATTAAAATCATATTTTTAACCATAAATATAAATATTCTTTGAATGAGTAATACATTATTAAACATGAAAATATGACCTAATAATTAAAATTTTACTTAAAATTTGCATACTAATTACGTATATTATTTAAGAGCGCATGTAAATTCCGCCCGAAAAAAATTGATAATTAATAAACACGTATAACATATAAGTTAAAAGTAAGAAGTTCTAATGACTTAATGAAGTTTAAAAGGTTAAAGTTACTTTTATTTGTATTTTTTGATCAAAATCGTATAGGTATAATAACCAATATGTTTATAAAGAATAGGTACATTTATTACTTACTGTTAATAAACAAATTTCTGAATGTGTTTTATTAATCATATTATTACTGACATGACAGATTAATCATTATGATTTATAAATAGGTATTTGAATATAAAAAAAAAAAAAATACAAAAGTATTAAGACATTACTTAGTAATGTGTTTAATAGTGTTTAAATATATATTTCACATATTACGTCAATAATTAGCATAATATATGGCAAAGCTAATAAGATATAACATGATTGACGATTGTTGTCTGAGATACGATTATTCCGTGTTCGTTCGAACATTAGTCACGAAACGCTTAAGGCGCGTTCTCATGAGTCAAGTTTAGTTGACCGATTTAGTTGATTAACAAAAATTGAATAAAATCTATAGTGAGAACCTTTGTTTCAATAAAATTGAACAACTAATTAGTTGATCAAAAAAAGTTTGACCCAGTCAAATTTTATCGTTCAAGTAATGAGTTATTTTTCAATTCATTTCACGTTGAAATCCGTCTTGACACGTGAGAACAACCTACACTACAGTTGATTCAAGTTGAACTTCAGTTTGTTTTCAACCAGTGGGCAGTCACACGTGCATTTTATGTTTTATTTTGTCAGTTGTGTTTTTTTTTTAATTTTTATCGTATTAAATATTTTTAATTTTAAAAATGAGCCTCAAGTGGTCTGAAAGCGTGATGCTAAAATTCTTTGAACTTTATTATAAGCATGACAGTTGTTATCAACTACGTGTTGACCGCGGCTTTTCAACTGAGTTCAAAATAAAATTGAAACATGTTCTGTTGAAATGTGTGAACAAAAACTGATTCAACTTATATTCAATTTTTGTTGATCAACTATAATCAGTTAGCTAAACTTGACTCATGAGAACGCGCCTTTAGTTTAAAAATATTTATTTTTCCGTGCGGAATTTACATGTACCCTTTTTACTTGGAAATTTTCCCCGGGTGGAATTTACAATCACCCTTATAAAGATTTTTATTTTTGTTTTTTTTTATTACAAAATATAAATTGTATTAGTATAGTTCAAATAATCTGTAATATTATGTTTGATGCTAATTAGAACTGCATTAGATAACACGTTATTTGATAGAGTACTACTTATAATAACTTAAAAGTCCGATTTTGTTATAATTCAAATTTTATTTTTGTGTTGTAAATTTAAAATCTATTATATGTATAATTTATATGTTATTACTTATATCTTCATAATAGTATAGAAAATTAATAACTTTATAGTTCTAAAAAAAAAAATTGAAACGATAATTGACGTACACGCGCACTGTTCAAAAAATAATTTCACCTACACACAGTGATCCGAAACATTATTTTACGCGGCCATAAGTCATTATTTTAGACTTGTATTTTAATGTTTTTTTTTATTAAATAATTATCTTTACATTACAGGGGTGGCTCTAGAGCCTTGGTTGGGGAGGGGGGACAAGTTATAATTTTACAAAATCTTATAACAAAAAGAAAAAAACAATTTAGTCCGAACAGAAATGTGTGCTACGCAATTCATGTTTTGAACATTATAAAATAATAATATCATAGTATCAAACCATAGTATATTTTATATTAGTATAGTTTATTTATAACCTTATTTGCAGTGTTAGGAATAGATAATGCATAATTTATCTAGATAAAGATAAAAGATAATATGTCCAAATTCATTTAGATAAAGATAATAGATAAAAAAAATTAAAATATCTAGATAAAGATATTTTCAAAAAATGTTATTTTTTGGTCAATATTTCATATTCTAATAATATCTATGAAAACTCAATTATAATCATTATTATCAATAGGTACCTAGGGTTTTAATGTTTATTGTAGTAATGTAGTGTACCATAAAGCAGTATTTATATATAATGTACAATATGATATGATAGTTACAATATGATAGTTAATCACTAAAATGTTACACAAAAAAAAAAAAAAATTGAAAATTGCTCAATACGTATCAGGATGAATACAGAATACATAAAAAATTATTTTAAGTTAACAATATTGTTTTTCATATAATATTAATTTGATGATTTTCATTATTCTATAAGTAGTTACGACTTTACGGGTTCCAAGAGTGAAATAATGACTATTCAGCGTATGAGTTACATGTATATATTAAAATCAAATACCATATTTGGAACTTCCGTGGAAAAATAAGAAATTAAGTTTAAAAATACCAAATAATTTTCTCCCGACATGAAAATACAAACAAAATGTCATACCAAGAAATAATAATTACTTATTAATAATACACAAATTATAATTATGAATACAAAATCTATATGTATAAAAGAAAGTCAGGTTATTTACAGAATTTTTAATTCAAGAACGGCTGGATCGATTTTGATGATCTCTGATTTGTTGGATTCGTCTCCGTACAAGAATAAAAATAACTCTAATCTTGGCAAAAATACAGATAATTATCTAGATAAGTAAAAATGTTATCTTAGATAAGTAATTAGATAACTTAGCGTTATTTATCTAGATAAGATAAAATATGACAAAAAATCTATCTAGATAATTTATCTAGATAAGACCCAACACTGCTTATTTGTTCTTCATAATATAGATAACAGGTACATCGTATACACTGTCATACCTCTATGGCTCTATCTACAAACTTATGCGTGTCGTATAATAGGTGTCGATATTATAATTATACGCATTTTTTGTTAACAATATAAATTTTTTTATAAATACGGTACGGGCTTGGGAGGGCGTGGCCCCTAGGGCCCCCCTGGAGTCACCCCTGTTACATTATAAGGTATACTAATATGGAATTACAACTGTCCAAGTACAAATTCAAGTGTATTGTATAGCTTTTTAATAAATATTTTCATTACTTCGATTTGTAATATAGTTAAAATACTTAAAACATTGTTAGGTAATATATGTATTTTTTTTTATATCCAATATTTTTAATATAAAATGTAAGTTTTGATGACTAATATAAAAATTCAAAAATTTATTTTTAATATAATTTTTTTCACGGTACATAAAAGAAAAAAATACAATTTGCCGGTTTTTAAAATTCTAAAGAGTTCCATTTAAAATGAAGTACATTTTTCATTTTTAGAAAATTTAGTAATTATAGAGCAAGTTTTCAGCTTTTTAAAAATGTTTACTAGACTTTGTGCCTGTAAATTATATTAGCATAAAAAATATGTTTAATCAGAGGTTAAAAATCATAAAAACCAATATCTTAACAATTTATTAACTTTAGAATGAAAATCATTGCAATAAATATGAATTGTTCGAACATTTTATATCATTATTACTTAAAGTCAGGACCGGCTTTAGCTTTTTCAGCGCTCAGTGCAAAAATTATTTTGGTGATCCTCCATCTTAAACGACTTAGACATATAATTTAAACAAACAGAATTTTGGGAGCTGGAGGGGGCTCATTATACATATTATGACCAAAGCCTTATTCACAATCAAAAATGCTCGAAGTAATTTTTCAAACGTACATTTTGTTTAATATTTGTAAATTATTCAGATAACAAACATAATAATACTTGTAATAATATAGTGATAGTTTATAAAACTGTAATTGTACCTACAAGAGCGGTCGATAAAATAATAAATAATAATAATCAAATTTATATTGAATCACATCATACATTTTTTTTTCTATCTAGTAAATAATTTGCAAAAATTGATCAAATTTAATCTTAATTTTAACGCCTCTCACGCGCCCTTCTGATTTTGGCGCCCTGTGCTAGTGGCGGCTCCCCCAAGCCAGTACCGTATTTATAAAAAATGTATATTAACGAAAAATGCATATTATAATATGTACTATAATACGACATTAATTAATGTATATCATAAAGTAGTTATTTTAGATCAAATAGATCATATTATTGATATTTTAACCAACTTTAAAAATAGACGACTTGAGTTTGTATTGTAAAAATTGTTGTTTTCGTTTTGATATAAGATTTTGTAAAGTTATAACTTGCCCCCCTCCCCTAACCAAGGCTTTGGAGCCGCCCCTGTCCTGTGCCGTCACACGCGTCGATCGTATCTAAAGCCGACCCTGCTTAAAGTATAGTTACAAATGATAAATAATAAATAATAATATTTATTTATTTATATATAAATAAATAATTACGAAAATAAATGTATAATATTAAATAAATAGTTTAATTTTAAATTTCACGGTCATGTTCATATTTAGGAACTACACTAGTCTATAATGTAGTATGTAACTTACGAAATAAATATTTGTCATTCCTTTAAACTTTTAATAATTTGCCGCTCTTAGCAACTGAACCCAAAGCCTCTACCTAAATATAAAATAAACCCCTGCCCTAGGCGTAAAATAGCGTCAACAGCCCTGTATATAATAATATATTACATACATTATATACATTTTAAGTATAAATACATTTTATTCGAATACCTTAGATGGTATGAAAAGAATGCCACGGGTAGTGTTAACATTCAAATAATGTTGACAATAGCCATGCATTTTTACTAATATGTAATTATTCGCTTATAAGCATGAAATATTAACATTATCTATAAAATGTTAACATTAACTAAACAACATAGTGGATAGTATTAAAAGTTACATACTTTTAGAACGATTTAAACGTTCTGTTAGCACTCTGTATTCTATGGTATCCTACTATACAAAAATAAAGCGTCGGGCTGCTGGGGGTATAATGACTAAAACGTGATACGATGTCAGTGATCTAAAATGTTGTGTAACTGAAAATGTCACGGAAGTATGTCATGCAATAGAAAATAATATTATTAACATTTAAATAATTTAGGTACTTAAATAAATGTTTCGATTATAGATAATAACTATTAAAATATATTTTAACAAATTCTAGGTTTGAAATTGTTACGTCTTATGACATTCTTATGGTGTTGTCAAGACATTATCCGAAAGGTTCTTGACAAATTATTATCCGTTTAACGTTGACATTAGTCAACATTTAACAATATTCATGGTAGCTAACGATAACAGTTGACTAATATTGTGTTATTTAGCGAATTTTCGACAATATTCAAATGTTAACGCAACCCGTATTGTATTCGCACGGTGCCGAGGCGGATTTGTTGCTACGAAGCGGTCGGGAACGGCGACCGTACAGTTTGCTTAGACGGGCGGTATCAGCGAGTACGGCACGTAGGGGATGTCGTGTTGCGGTAGAGCGGCGTACGTGACGGATGACTGGACTACGTCCGACCCGCTGCCGGGCGACGGCGTCGACTGGAGCAGTTCGGTCATAAAGCCGATGTACGTGATGGCCAGCCTGAGCGTTTCGATCCGGGACAGACGTTTTTCGTACGCGAACGTGGGCACTTTGCGCCGAAGCTTGTCGAACGCCTCGTTTAGGTTGTACATGCGCCTGCGCTCGCGTATGTTGGCCGCACGCCGCTGCGCCAGCGTGGCCACGCGCCGTCGGATTTTCTTCGACGACGCCATTGACGACTTTTGCAAACTACTGTTGCTACTGCCACCCCTATGCAATCAAACACGCTCATGGTTAACAAAAAATCCATACACAAACATAAGAGTGATTCTGGTGTAAAGTCATTTTTTTTTCAAAGGTTTTCCTAGTGGATTTTTGACAATAAAATATAACAAAACGTATCCGATGATTAAAATGTTCGAAGTATGGAAATTTCTAAAAAAAAAAATATTTGTTCCGACCAGATACTGTGATTTCAATGGGGACAGGAAACTTATACCTATTATGTTTCAACCGAGCCAAGATTTTTTATTTTTAAACTTTAATCCTACCTTTAACTGTTACGAATGGCGATAAAAGTCTTAACTAATTAGTTCAGGTAATGCAACAGGAATCAATAGACGTCGTATTTGTATTATATGTATTGTATATTATATGTTGTAAAGTAAATATTATTGTATGTGTATATCATACATGATTACACGATGCCAGCAGCGAACAAAGGAGAAGCATTGTTCACTCAGAGCTTCCTCTGCTATCGGTTAAACAACGGAAAAAAAAGTAGTGCCATGGGATTCAAGCAATTTACAAGCAGTGTTCTATATCGTGATTAAAATTTCGAAAACTAAATAGCAACAAAATGCTAAGATATTGGGCCACGTTTATGTTATGTATACAAAGGCTTGTCGGCACAAAATTAGATATTTTTTGAAAATTCGGTTGTGATAATCACAGTTATTGGTAAATGAGTTCATGCTGCATATATTTGTATATTTTTTTTTTATGTAAAATTATTACGGTATGGACTGTAAATTATCACAATTATCAGTAGTTTGAGTTTTGACCTGATAAATCATAATATTATAATAGCAATTGCCATTGTTGGATCAATGTTCATTGTTTAGATATTTTTATGTATCATGATATCATCACTATTTGGAGAAAAAAAATGTACCATTTACTTGGCATTTTGATGAGTCATTTAAGATAGTAAAATATATTTTCGATAAAATATATTTGATATAAATGCGTAAATTTAGGAATAAATGAATAATTTGTAATACGAGTATTAATTGCAAACAAATCGAATAAAAATAGGTACATAATGTTTATTTTTTGCATTTCTATTATTTGATAAAAAATTTGATTTTTAAAGAAAAAACTTTTTTTGTATTACGATATACAGAAGTCGGGCGGACCATTGAAGTTTGAAACAGAATGTTTGTCCTTCATTCATTGACCCTAAATGCAGAATACTGATTGAAGGCGTACAGAGAGTGGACGTAATTTGAATACCGTAAAAATAACTAGGATGGATGTGTTACATTCGTTTAGAAATGTATTTGTAAAAATATGAAAGCAATTACAAATCATTGAACGTAATCAAGAAACAACTCTGAGTGAAGGTCGAACTTCTTTATAACAAATATATAATGTTTTGTATAATAGAATTAACTATTTCACTTGATAGTTAATATAATCATTTTGTATTTTTGTATCGAATTCGCATACCTAGCTTACAATCACCAAATGTAAGTATATACACTTTTTTTCAAGAAAATCAATGGTTTTACTAATCTCAGTCTTTAAACGTTGATGAAGGAAATGATTGATCAAAATCTTATCATAGTCAATCAGCAATTAATGTTCAAGCCATTATACACAAAGTATTTAATTTAACAAAATAAATATAAATTAGAAACCACAATAGTATGTGTATAATATTTACACATATCAGATTATCAAAGAATATGAATACCAAAAAACAAAAAATTATAAGTTTGGTAAGATTTAATTTATTTATTATAAATATAATTGGAAAAAAAGAGAAAGTTTAAAATTTTTTATTTTTATTTGCGAAAAAGCTGAAGAACACAATTTTTTTTTGTTTTGGACATGGCGGAAAAAGGAAAGGTTCATTTTTATTGTTTTTTTATGTATTATTTTTATTGTATTGCTCACAATAAAAGCTTCATTAACACGATAGTGTTGCATAAAAAATAGACAAAAATAAACGCAATAGAGATGGTACACCGATATTTATAGTACTTTAATTTATGATGTGTTTGATTAACATGTTAAACATAACTTTTGTATTTATATTTTTTAAAAGAATAAATATTTTATAAATTTAGTTATATAATCTTTGAGATATTAAAATCACTAAAAGTATATTTTTTATTCAGAGCTTTGAATGGCAAGCGAATTCCTCGCCTAAACTGTATACATTTACTGTCGATTCTATACCTACTACAGTAAAAAGTTAAAACTAACTTCTTCTGACAAATTCATAAATATATAAAAAGTAAAAATGACTCGCAAATTTATTAAATCACTATTTATAATTTTTTTTCCTACTTGTAAATTATCTTAGAGGAAATTGTAAACAGAGAGAAAAAATATTACAAGTAAAAAATAAGTCACTTAATTCATGGACTAATTTAAAATCATTAAAATGTTGAACCATAAATTAAGATCAGTGCCATAACTAAACTACACGAGACCTGTGTGATACTTAAAATCTTGAGGCCCTTTATCATTATACATTTTTCAATAACAACTAAAAAAATTGTATTTTTAGAAAGAGAGGAATTTTAAAATTTTAAAATTTGAATTAATACGATACTAAATACCTAAATAAATATGATAATTGATTATTGAAGTACATAACTTATACTAAACTACTATTTCAAAGGAGTGTTAAAAAATTTATCATAGTTATTCTTTATGTATATTATTAAACATAATACTTAGGGTATGTTATTGGGCAAAAAATACTAGTACCTATAGTAAAACATATAATCATTGAACACATATTATTACATTAGAAAATAAATAAATAAATACTATAAAACATTATTTGTGAATTATCACAGAATTTTTATTAATCGTTGAATATAATTATTTTCTTGCTCAATATTATTAAGCGCAGTCTGAAGAAGCCCCCGTTCTTCGACAATTGATTAAATAATATAAAAAATAATTATTAAAAATTAAGTATATTTAATAATTTTTTTCTTTTATAATAATCCGATTAAAACGGCCGTGACACGTTTGGGTACAGTAGACCCTAAATGCAACACGTTCGGGTATAAAAGAATACACAATTTGGGTACACCATATCTCTAGAAAAATAATACGTTTGGGTACAAAGGACATAGGTATTAATATAACATTTAGAAACATCTAGAAAAATAACACTTTAATACTTAGTCATTCATTTTACATTTTTAGATCCTATTAGCGTTATTCAGGAGACATGTTTAAAAGTGACATGTTAGTAGCATTTGTAAAAATAGGTATACTACTTTCCGAAACCATGAAACAAAATGGTTCATTATTTGAAACGAAATCTATTTATTTTGAAAAATCATAGTTTTTTACTTCGAATAAAGATTTTGATATTTTAGGAAATATTTTTCGTCTAGCTTCATACATACTTTTCCTCAATAATCTGACGTCAGAATAACTTAGATGCTCTGATTTTGGAAAGTTACGTAGTTTTTGACATATTAGTTTGGCTTTACATTAAGATTAGTAGTTGCTTTGCGCTTTAAAAGTGACAACTCTGTTTAGTGATGGTTTCTTCAACTATTTCATCTATGGTCTATGACTATGTTCTCCATTTATTGAAACTACCGTTTTTAAATTAACAGTTCATTTAGCAGTGACAGTGCATTTACCATTCGTGTAACGAAAAACTTTAGTTGTATCTTTGTTTCCTCTAAAGTCACTAAATTTATAACTGTTAATCGCAACACAATTTTTTCCACGTCAGGTTTCAAAAACATCGGAAATGTTCACGTCTATAATTACAAAGAATAAGCTAATCTTGCCGATTGAAAATCCAAATAGGAACTGAACATTGGAAGTTGAAACATTAGTATAATACAGTGTATATATAATATAATGTAGTTAGTTTCATAAACCATATATTATAAAGATTGTTAACCTTTTTTTTGGAGATAACCTATTGCAATTGGCAATTAGTGTAGGATGCACCCAAACGTGTTCTACATTTACAGGTAAAAATAATATAATGTACCTAAACATGTTTCGCCCATTAAAACATAGGAACATAATGCAATAATCAGTGGCGGATTAGGAGGCAGGCTAAAAGGCTTACAGCCTAGGGCGGCTTTTTTTTTTTTTATAGAATTAAGTTTTATTATTGACTTATTAGGTATATTTATTTTAATATATATATATATATATATTTATATTTGTCTTATAAACACGAATAAAAATAATTTTAAAAAGTTATAGGTAATAATATATTAATATGAACATTGTATGATGCGTAACTATAGGTTATAGTAAGAATATTAAAATTATTATTACAATTTCATTTGTAATAAAATAATTACAGTTAGTTACTAGTTATTATTAATAACTTATTAGTACCTATGTACTTATTGGGAATATCCGACTATCCGAGTATAGGTATTTTCATATCTGGTTATTAATATTTCCGTTATGTGACTGTATAAGCATTGTTTATTTGTACTTGTAATAATGGTATCTGAAGTAAAATAATAGACATGAAATATTTTATTTTTAGAAGTTTTCTGTTTTAAAGATTTAATATTAAATATTTTTTTTTTGATAAAAAACTAAATAAAATTTGAAAAAAAGGGTTTAGACCAAATATTGTTGGTTCCTTAGTAGAATGATAAGGGGGGGGGGAAAGAGTGATTAAGCCTAGGGGCGCCAAAACGCTAAATTCGCCTCTGGCAATAATCAGAATGATGCAGGGCAAAAGGTATAAGTAAAGATAGTAAATAACATTGGTTTTATTAAAATATATAAAATATTAAAATATAACACTATCTACAAATATAAAATAATCATAGTAAATTGGGGGTTTATTTATTATTTAAGAGGAACTAGAAATTAAACATATATGATAAGCATAAAAGATTTTTATAAATAATAATTGTATTTAACTATAATTTGTTGAAATACTTGTACAAAAAATAATATTTAGTTGTTAAAATTATAATGGAAGTATCTAAACTTAAGTAGTTCAATTGTTATCTTAATTTAATATATACATTTTAATAAAATATAGATAAAATACTAAAAACTCAAATTAGACTTAAGTCAACAATTACAATTATTCTTTAGAGTGTTAAAAAACATGAAAGTTGATGTATTACTACAGTAAATACATTAATATATCTAATAAAATATTTTCATTTTTAATATTAATTTATAATTTCATATATATTACAAAACTAGAAATAGGTATGAAGAATATATCATCTTACATATTAAAAAAATATATGAAAATTAAAGTCAGTCCGTCTGGCCGCTCTATCCGACCGATTTCCTTAATTTTTTTTTTAAATGAAAGTATTTAGACAAAGATATGTCATCAATCATTGAAATTTACTCAACTTCCACCAATGCGATTCTTCCCTGTAGATTTCTTATGGGACACATTCACTCAAGCAACATTCGAATTCTCATAGCTCCTTTTCTAATTAATGGATATTGATAGTTTCAGTTTCAGAATACTCAGAGGACCAAGCTCTTTCTTTTGAGCTATTAATTGCTTACATTCGTTGAGTTTGAGGAAACTTATGTGTGCACAATCAACTTTACTTTCAATTTTTTCTAAATACAGCATTCTCATTGGCCCTTACCCAGTGATATAACAATAAACAGCACACAAACCATACTAATATTATTACTTATATTAGCTAATATTGTCTAGAAGGAAACACTGTAAAATGATTTTATGTAATAATTACACCCTCTCATACATAGTGCTATCCTAATGCTGCAGAACATATATTTTAATAAACACTTTCTATCATTTCGATATGTCTTTCAATTTTCGATATTATACTCTTTATTGATTTGTTAAAATGTGTTTATGAATTGATTCGATTGCACCTATACTTTTTATTATATAAATAAATTATCTATTGTGAATTTTCGCAATGGGTATACTAGTATTATATTATTTTAGTAATTATTAAGACATATACATTGAATATCACGAGATACGAAATGTTTTCTTCATTTTTTTAAAAAAAAAACATTGATATTTGAGTTTATTTTTTAATAAATTAAATAAACAAAAATAAAGATAATTTTCTTTGTGGTAGATAGAATAAAGAGGTATAATAAAATTAATTATAATTTTTATACTCATACTTATGATATAGACTCTCAATAAAGTGATGATATATATACATAAACAGCTTACCTTGAAATTGGATTTTGAGTTAGACTCTGATGTTGAGTATGGTTGTGTGAGATCGGCCACATTTGAGATACTGAAGAAGAATGCTGATGAATATGGTGGTGATGTAAATGATGATGGTGATGATAAAGGTGAGCATCTGGCCAACATTCATCATAACTTTGACTATCCTGTAACCATAATATTATTTTACTTGTTTTGTTTTTGTAACCTAGAATAATTGATTTTATACAATAATAGTATGACATTGTAGATAATGTATCTGTTTTGTAAAACACAAAATTCAATAAACATATAAAGTAAATCAAATTAAACCAAGTGCTTAAACCTAAGTTTACTAACACATATTTTGTTGTAATTACAGTGCGATAGTAGTTAAATACAAATTAAAATTGTAAATATTCTTAGAAAATGTTGTTTACTTACAGTATTTGCTAAACTAGAGTCCCAAGTGGGTGTATGACCCGTAGTTGCGAATCCGTTGCTCATCATTGTGCAGTGCTTTATGATATGAGAACAAGCACAGCGAGTTCCTGGGGGCGTCTATCTTCCCTTTAGGAATAGCATGATATTGGTCCAGCCGATCGTCCAATGGTAACGCAGACAGGTGTTGGTTTGTTTCAACCCTCTTGCCGTCTAGAAATATTGCTATGTAGCTCTATATCAAATAATAACAATTTCAAACAAAATGTATTACTTTAAGTTGCTGAGACAAAGAAATATTAACATTATTTTGGAAAATCTTTTTATCTGTATTATGATTATAGATCGAAAAAAATATTAATTTTTGTAATAAATATCTATGCATAATGATTTGTATTTTATACGCCAGTTATATTGACCATACTAATATTTGTAAATAATACATAATAATTGTATAGATATCATCATAATATTAATTATGAGAAAATTCTTTACGACCGCGATTATCAAAAGTGATCTTATAATCAAGATTGAATAAGAAATACCAACAAATGTTTGTTATTTAAGTTTTATTACACATATTTTAAATTTCACCTTTAGTTAGAGTATTTAATGTTAATATTATTATTACTTTTGCATATTTTATATTTGCATAAGGAACATTAGAAAGACAACTAGAATAATAAGTTTTTATCACAAAATTTTACATATTTTACATTCTTTAGATTACAATAAAATATTTTTACAGTTATAGATTCTTTTATCCTAAAGAAAACGCAACATTTTTTAATAATTATATTTTGCACAAAAAAGCTGATTGTTAATTAGGTATCATTACTTTAAGTGTTTATGACATGGATATGTATTTTGTATAATGTTTATTAAAGACGTAGTTATCTAATTTGTAAATTTGAAGTTGTACTCCTTCAAACTGGCCTTCGCCTATTACCCTATTAAAAATATGACAGTTATAATAATATTATAACTGTCATATTTTTAAATAATTAACCATAAATTGTACATGTAATGTTAAAATGGATCTAGGATTAATGGATATAATATATTATAATATACTATTTTGAACATCATAAGATATATTATAAAATCCTCCATAACAATTAATATAGAGAATTATTTATTTTACGGACTGGATCCATTTTAACATTACATGTACAATTTATGGTTAATTATTTACAATAGACGTCTTATAATATAAAGTAGTTTAATATTTACAAGAATTAGTTCACAAGAGTTATTTAAACATAATATCCAAATATGAATATTTTTTATGTTTAAATAGGACATGATCATATGAGATTCCTTAACACCCACTCACCTTTACAAAATACTCTATTATAATTAAATTTCTATACTCTACTAAATTACACAACGACATAAAAATTCTATTTTATAAAATAATTCAAAACATACTCAATATTACCTAAAAAAAAATAATACTCAGATTTTTTACATGTATTTTATGTTTATAACATGGACGTAAATCATTGCATCAAACTAATATAAATTAATAAATACTTTTCTTATTATTATTATTGAGTAAGTAATGATTAACTATATATTTTACAAATGAAAAAACATGTTATGAAAAATTTAGATAAATAGATAACAATATTTAAATTGTAAAAACAATGACTAAGAAAATAAAATGTTGAAGATTGGAATTATATTTTTATAATTATAATGAAATATTATTTATAAGTTCTTACTCACATGAAGTTTGGAGTTAGTAGAATAGCTGAACTTACAAGATTCGTATTGTTGTTGATGATTGGTTATGTTTGTTGTTATTTTATAATATATATACTATATAAACGACAGTAAATAGTTCGTTACTTTGATAAATATTTTGATGAAAAAATCAATCATAACTATAAGTCTGGAAATAACATGTAATATAGAATCTCTGTTTTTTAACTTTTATAATATGTTATGGAAGATTATTTAATTTGTCACAGCATCAGTCGTGTGTCGAAACGTATGCCAAATTTAATAAATATCTCTCTAAATGAGGGCATGCGTGTTAAGCCCCTCTACATATTTTGATTTGTCCAATAACACTGTCACCCTCCGTTTAACCGCGTGTTATGATACGATTAGCATTACACCCCTAGTTGATTCCTAAACCATCTGCCGTATTCTTTTCATATATTTTTTCTGTCAAGTGTATTACACTATCCCTCTTATATATATGTTTTTACGCAATAATTTATATTTTTATTAAACACAGAAGTCTTAGTTATATCTAATACGACTAAATTACTATACATTTCAAATGTGAGAATATCATATTTTGATAAATCCCAAATATTCGACCATGGACATTAAATCAGCTCACCAACTTTTGTGATTGAGCATTTAAAAATTCAAGTTCTGGTAAATTGAACGTATAAGATTATAATTAAATAGTCTAGTTTCACTAACACGTTTATGATGTATACGTAATATATAGACATGAAAATCAAAATGTCGTACAAAAGTACGAAAAAAGTTCTTTACAAAGAATTTAGAACTCCTTAATTTATTTGCTACCGTAACTAATAGATAAGCTACCACGCTTGAAATTATTAATCCCCTTCTAATACACTAGCCATTGTTGTACTGAATCACTTTTATTAATTTTATTAAAATAATGCAATGGACCGTATTTAAATTAATATTTAGTTGAGCGTATCAATATTGTGTACGCATGCAAAAATAATAAGTAGTTATGACTGTGACATCAATGTATTTGTATATAACACTCATGCCTTTAGAATATATTATTTTTATTTCACTATAAATAATTAGATTGATAAAATATCTTACACTTTAACCCATTTTAATGCGACATACGTTTGATCTTTTATTTATTATGATTTATTTAAAAAAAAAATTAAATAGCATTGTTATAGAGTATAAACTTATTTCAAGTATAATACACAACAAAATACAAAGAAATGAACGTACGATTCGATGTCTTAACAAAAAATAGCTTAGTGGGTTACAAAATTTAGGTGGACGCACGGTTAAATCGGGAGTGTCTTAATATTTCATTCCATTCGAAAAATGATTTTTAATGTATTTCGACTTGAATATTATCAGTATGTATATATTCTACTGACATATTGTGTGCACAAAAAATGAGTGTTAAATATATACTGTAGTAGTATTTTACAATTTCAAGGTTTAAACTTAAGCCATTTATTTTATTAAAAAAGTACATAAAAAATATTTAACATTCATTTTTAGGAGAAATTCAATATTTTTTCTATTTATTTTTGCAGTTAAGAGTTAGATCTAATGTAAATGTAAGCAAAAATTTAATTCAGAATTCTGAATTCAAGTTTAACTTTAAATACATTTAAAACTAGTTAAAAATTAAATTTATCATATTTTCAATGGTAAAAAACCATTAAAAGTAGTATGTTTAAAATAATTTACTTAGATCAGTTACAATAACTTCTATATAGAATTGTTTATCTTGTAGAATTATGAAAGATAATGAATTTTCATCATATTCAATAGTCAAGAGAATTTAAAAAACAAACCAATATTGTACATTCTCATTCCTTTGTGTCGCTCAGAATCTAAAATGTATATTGTCACGTGTGAAATTATAAAATTTAACGAATTTAAATTATAACTAATAAAAGTAAATAAAATTACAATTGTATTATATCAAATGTTTTCATATTATAAAATATTTATTTCTCATTCTTTCATCGAATCAAAGTCAATCAAAGTGCATTCAATTATATTATGAATGTGTTATATGATTACAGTTTTATTAAATCAATGTTTTAAATAATATATTATATTATTAATAAAAAAAGTAAATGAACATTTATATTATTACGTATAAGTTAGTTCTTTAACCTATGAGTCAATCAATTTATTGAAGTTATTATTTAACATGTAAAATTAATTGGTTTTAATAATTGTTGTTTCATTGGAAATAGATAATTCTAATTTATATCATAATTAGTAATCTGGTAGTTAGCGTTAACTTTTTATATAATGTTATTCAAACTAATAAAACATTAAATATTTTCCATTAATTTATTAGCCATGATAAGTTATATGAATACTAAAATTACTTTTGAAAATGTATTAAATAAATAAAATATCCAATATTAATAAGAAATATATTTGTATGTAAGAACAAATAATTACATTTTATAATACATGGTACAAATGATAATTAATACATTTGAACATGTTAATGATGACAATTATTAGAAACTGTTTTAAATCTTTAGTTCATAAAGTGATCATAAGACTTAAATTATACTATTTAACATGGAATAAATAGTGTATTAAAGTACACCAGTCAGATATACCTGAGGAGAATGGAAATACAAATATAAACAGAGTTGGGCAAAAACAAATCAAAATAATGAATAAAAAATAAAAGCCTGAATAACTAATTTATTTATGAATAAAGAATACATTTATTCATTAAAATCATGAATGATATTAAATATAAAAGTATAATTAATTTATTTTTGTAAATTATTATATATATTAATATGTATTACCTTTATATATATTATTTAAGTCTAAATAATAAGTATATTATCACTATACATCTTTATTTTAGATTTAAATTTATTATTTATATGATTATAGGAAATAACGAATAACTAAATAATGAATAAAATATAGTAAATAAAAATCTCCGAATAATGAATAACGACGAATAATAATACAAATTAAAATAATGAATAAAAATAAAAATCAATAGTAAAATTAAGAATAAATCAAAGAAGAATAATTTTTTATTCAAATAATCAATCGAATAATATTTTATTCGACTAATGCCCAACTCTGCATATAAACCTACATTTTTAAACAACAATATGTACAGTAAAAAAATACAGTTAGAATCTTATTAATAATTTAAATAAAGAAAGTAAAGAATTATGGTTAGAACTAAATCAAACCAAATGAAATGGAAAACTTATTATTATGAACCTATACCTACATGGATAATGATTGATCAAAATAATTACGTTTTTATTTTATATTTATAATTTATATTATTACTACATAATATTTTTAAACCCCTTACCATGCGTGTAGTCATTATACTTTTATAAATATAAATTATACATTTTATAAGTACGTATACTACATCAATCTTAAATTTTTAATGCAAAAAAAGAATAATATGTTATTACTATATTAAGTTGCTTGAAGATTTTTTCTCGAAAAATTTTA